AAAATTATAATAACATGTAATGTATTACCATAAGAAATTAAGTAATTATTCTATAAGTCACGTTTGAAAAACAAAAATATACACCTATCTAATTTCTACTTTAAAAAAAATAGGGGAAAAGAAATATTCAACGAGTGTGTCAAACTTTGATACTCCAAAAAAATCCAAATGATTAATTGGCCTATAAAAATGACAAACTAATACTACTACACGTCCAATATCAAGATTATACAATATTATAGTATAAAATATAAAACTCAAAGACAAGTTGATCATTAACTTGCCACTTTCTTAATTATTTCTTTTTGTATCATCTTAATTCTCAGCCAAATATAGGGTATGGACCAATGGATAAATTCCTTTCGATTAAAAAAAAAAAGAAGGGGTAAGCAAAAGTCATCAAATCTATATACAAGCCAAATTGGTCTAGCACAACAAATTTTCTTAATAGGAAAAACAAAGGGGAAGTATTAGGGTTGTGGGGAGGTCAATTTTCCAAGTCTTTTTTTTTTCTCCTCATTTTCAAAGTCTAATTGAGATATATTTTGACTTTTGGAGATTTATAACGACTACTCCAAATAGCCCTTAGACTTGTTTTTGGTTGATTTTAGAACCCTGTTTTCCCTTAGCCCCTAGGGGTAATTGGGAATAGCATAAATATTTTGTTTATGACTTTGAGGAAATTGGTTTATGGTTTGAGATAGGGTTAAATATGGTAAATACTTCCTCCATTCAATGATTATTAACTTTGCACCGTTTTTAAGAAATTATAATAAAGAATTAATGTTAATATAGCAATTTTTTTAAAAAATCTAATAGAAAAATAATTATGATTAATAATAAGCTAAATTATGAACTACGTATAAAATCAAAATTATTTTATTAAATAAATAAAAAATTATTATTAAATATTTTAAAACAATATAATGGATGACTATTCGGAAGATGGCTAAAAAGGTTTAAGATTTATAAAATGGGCAAATTGGCATGGAAAGATTAAAGACATAGTAAAAAGAAAGGATTAAAAGAGCATAGGGAGAAGAGTTTAGGGGGTTATAATAGAATAAAATAAAGTTAAAACTTAGGGAATTGGGAAAGAAGTACAATGGACCACACAAATATTAGCCTGCAAAATAACAGACCTCGGCACGTTCCCCTCTGCCCTATACCTTCGAGGTCTTTTCTTCCTCTGTTTTGCACCCTCACCATACTTACCATGCTTCCTATTCCATCTCTCTTATCATCCAATCCCTTTTCGTGCTTGCAAGTTTTTCGACACGTATCAAGAGTTAAATAGGATCAAGAGGTTTATCTCGTACATAAGTTATATTATTTATAGATATATTCTTTTTATTTAATTTTATCGTGTAATATTTCTTAAACGTATATTAAGATATCCCCAATTTGTTAATGATATTACCTCCTTGTAGTTGTTATTCATAATAGTAATATGTTTTAGTGTAAATTCATAAAGTAGTATCTAGAGAATGTATATATACACGAATTGTGTGAAAAAATTATTTTCGATAGATAATTAATTTAAAAACAAACACTCAAAAGTAATAGATAGTCAGACCTGACTAGTCACCCTAAGTAATAGTCATAACAAAATTCACACTAGGCCTTTTCATTTCGTAGGAAAAGATCATGACTTATGCGTCCTATCAAACGGCTGTTAAACTAAAAAGGTTTACTGAGTAACATGATGTTCACTTCTTAGCGCTTAGGCGCTACTATCTAAAAGTAAGTTTTTCGCTCTCTTCCTTTTACCTAACGGCCGTTAAACTAAAAAGGTTTAGATAAGTTGTTTGGGCAATTTTACTTTTACTTTATTATATTTTTTAATTTTCAATTGATTATACAAACAAGGCGCTAGATTAGTTGAGGGTGTACACAAAGACTCGAGAAGGAGGTGAACGAAGGCCTTCTCCATAGGATTCTGACTTAAGGCAGCCAACACGAGGCATAAGGTTAATTAGTGTAATTAATAATTAATCATTGATAAAACAATATTCTATAAACTGTCAACATTACTAATTTCTATTATTAATTAATATGGAAAATTAATCTGTATAAGATTAATGAATCTAAGCAGATTACAGAATACAGAGCTCCTTCTCACCTTTTCTATATCATAGTTTGGTGAAGAGGATTTGTCATAGCCAATCAGTGCTTGACACGTTTTAGTTGTAGCATTTTTTAATTTTTTCTTTATTCCTTTATAAAATAATTTTATTTTACTTTCGATTTATGTTTTAAATGTCGTTTTGAAAGATATTCTAGGTCGAAGGCAAATCAAGATCAAATCATTTCTAGTGAAATTTTCTCATCAATACGTGCACCTTATGGTGACTACATATGATAGATTTGTTTTATTTATTCAAATTTTATATGATATATTCATTTTGATATTTATATTTGTAATACTTTTATTTCGTAAATATATTAAATTTTAGCAATTCAACATTCACTACAATATAATATAAATAATCTTATAAATATTTTGTGATACTTAAAATATTCTATTTTTATTTTGATAGACATTCATCTTATTACTTGATATCTTGATAACGCTATTTCATATTAATTTATTTATAATAAATATATCAATTTTTTTAAAAAAAATTACGTATTTGGAGCAAAAAACTAATTAATACTGTTGCAATCTGCGTCAAGACTCGTAGTTCTTATAAATAATTAAATTGAAAGATAACTATGTCCAAAATTACTACTTAATTTACTAAATATTAACTAGATACTATATTAATATTTTCTATACGCGTATGATGATATTTTAATATAAATATAAAATAAAAATTATTAAATTCATCTGAATTGATATGTCGATATATTAGCCATAAATTGTATTGAAATAAATAAAAAAGAATTGGACAGAGAAAATAAAATTAGGAGTAGTAAGAGCATGAGAGGATGGAGAATGTGATATTAGGGTGTGAAATGGATTAAATTATTATAATTTCCATAAGCAAATGACAAAAATAATGCACATGAAGTGTTTGTCAAAGTATGGAGAGTCTCTCTAACTATCAACAATCCCATCATGCATGTTTATCCTTCTCCACTTGTTAATATAAAATATTAGTAGTAATTAATGAGAGATCTATTTGCATGTGGTGCAAGTTTTCTTCATGTAATCTCACATTCTTAATTATGGATTATCCAAATTACAAATCCATCACCATATTAATTAACTATTGTTGTAAGAAAAAAATAAACTTAGCACAAAATCTTTACATTTACAGTGATGTATATATTTTGATTTTTAGTGTCTAACTTTTAATCGAGATCGATTCAAAACTTAAAATCTTGAGAAGTTTGATTTTTAATATATATATATATATATATATATATATATATGTTTTGCGTTAGATTTAAATGAACTCGTTGTTTTAATTAAGAGCTATATTTGTCATTGTAATTAATCTACGCTTAGTTACAATTTGATGTGACTAATTTTAGTATTGTTAAACAACCATATCCCATTATCTCAAATCAAGTTGTAAGATCTAATCTGTGAGGTTATTAATTTGTCAAATTATTTGTAGATCTGTTGCTTGATTAGAAAGTAGAAAACTGCAATTTGCCTATGTGTGCCAAGGCAGTTCCACAAAAACAAAAAGAATATTCAAAACACAAGGATCCAAAGTAGATTTTTCAATGTTTACACGGGTTGATTTAAGCGAATTTAAACGTTAATAATTTAGCTAGCTTAAAAAACGCTCATTATTCGTTGTGAGTCTTCTTGGTTTGCCTCATAATCCGTCAAATACATGAAATCCAATATGAAAATCATCCTCTCTAAGTGCGTATGCATATATAAAGAATAATTACAAAATAAATCTCTATTAGAATTGTTAATCATCTCATATTTTCATATTAAAGATTTGGTTATCACCAAATTCTTCACAATTTCACATCCCATTTCGTATATTATGTCACCATCAAGATATCATCTCATATTTTCAGATTAAAGATTTGATTATCACCAAATTCTTCCCAATTTCACATCCCATTTCGTATATTATGTCACCATCAAGATATGTGTTGAGAAACCCTTGATAATTAATGATCGCTTTCTTAATAAATTCTATACTGTACTAATTTAGAACAATTGTACAATTAAATTTTGGGTATTAGATGCTTATATATCTATAAATAAATTAAGAAAAAAAATATTAAAAAGACGAAAATATTATGATTATGACATGGAGATTAAATGAGATGTCATTAAGAGAGGAGTCTATCAAACTTGGGCGGTGGGGGTAGTTAAACAGTAAGTTATGTTCATATATGTACTTCATCTACTTGCTGGATTTATGTTAAATGGACAAGATATTAATGAGATGACTCATTCCTAATTAGTCACTATCAATCAAGAATGCAGATTATTTTTTGATTAGTACAAGATAGAATTTCATGACATTCAAATAGGAAATAATTTTGACAATCTTAATCTACATATATTGTTACTACAAAGCATTAGATATAACCATTAGAACTCATTAGATGTACTATAAAAATGACCGTCTTTTAACGATTTAAACTTTTTCGATCTTTTTAGAGCTTAGATTTGAAATGAATGATTAACGTAGTGTATAGTAGAGATCTCAATCATTCTATCGCATTTTTTTTTCAATGAAGTGAAACAATGATCTACTATTTTAGATCAAAATATGGTGGTTGGGCTTTTTGACAGAAGTCATTGTCTGCTTCTTTTTCAGAAGATTCAGTGTAATACCAGATTAGATTTGCGTGGGGGCTGGGGTTGGGGGTGCACGTTACTTTGTCAGAGCTTCGCCGGCGGCCAAAGTGGACGCCTGTTCCCAGTAGGACCACCTTTGTGTCACGACTCTCTTAAGCCCATTATCATTGTGAACTCAAATCATCACGTCTACTATTTTTGGAAATTTAACAGTAATATAAATCATAGTGTAGTAGTAATAATATTACAAAATTAGAAAATAAAAATTTTAGAAATCAGTTTGAATCATCCATTGATATAGAAATGTTTTCTGTTCCAAAAATTCTTGCAGCAGTGCATTTATAGAGTAAAAGAGAGGCTACAGTAGCTGAGCTTTGAGCTCAAACCCACAACATACTCTACTGAATCTGGGATTACCTATCAATAACACACGCAAAAATCAGCGGGAAGTAAGCAGAAAGACTTTTCATCACGCATTCGCGTTCAAAGGATAATGCACCATATCATCCTGTCATGGAAACCATGATACTATCTAAGAACATAAAATATGAACAATCACTTGGTCCACTGATCTCTTTGCTTAAATTAAGATAAGCAAGAAAGAGCAATGCACAAGGAAGCTGTAAAGTAGCAAAGCTAAAGTATAAAACTTCATGTCATTCACATTAGGTCACCGATCAAATCATCCATCAAAGATGAAAGGATCTCCTTCTCGATGTCAACACCCTCTTCACAGGCTTCAAAGCTGAAATCGGTCCACTTCCCGTCTTGTGTGCTCATGTCCTTGTCAACAACCTCATCCACCATCAACTCTTCCATGCTTGTCCAGCTGGCAATCACTCTATACACTTCTTCTGCTAACCACTCCTTTCTTTGGACCAATGTTGTCCACTTAGCCCAAGCTTCAACACCTCTGCCGAAACTCAGTTTGCATCTGAGTTCCAAGCATTCGACTGCTGAATGGAACAAAACTCTTCTCCGCATCTTCAGCTGCTCCTCTGCATTTTTGTTGGTTCGAGCCTGCTGATTTTCCAGCTTGTCAAAGAGATCAAGAGCAATAATGCTCTGAACCTCACCCAACAAGAATTCTTCCATTACCATGTCGGAGCTTCTAATTATATCTCTGATATATTGGAACTCCCAGTAAGCTGATTCATTGAAATTTGAGGAAGTTAACGTAGTAGTCGACTCCTTTTCACCTGCATCAGCAAGAGAAGCGGAAGAGGCCGAGTCCAGCAACTCTGCATCACCTTCCACCAGATGAGTCCTCATGTAGGTTTTCCAATTCATCATGTAGTGAGATCCATCAGACAGATGATACTTGCTCCCTGAATCATAAGTTTCATCCGTCAGGATTAATTGATATTTTTTCAGGGGAAAATGGAAGTATGCTGGTAACTACCACTGAATAGTTTTGGCAAAAAAGAGACTGCAAATAGGACAAGTAATTCCACCTGAAGAGCAGGAAGATCATTTTTGTTTATGGAATAGAGAAAAGAGAACTTTACTGAAATTTATCTGATCATGAGCAAATTATATAAAATATATCTTATCCTAAACTATAGCTCTAATAGATTGACCTTAAGGTAATCCTTTGTTGTCCTGTTTTCCATTTTCATCCATCTAACAAGCTTGGGCATTTAGCCTAAAGTGGCAAAGTTTTAGATTAAAATATAATACGAAACGCCTTCTTACAGAGAGTCAAAATAAAAACAGAATTATCATCACAATCTTAAATAGGATGGAAACAAAAGGAGGAAACTAAAGATCAGCATTATTACCATCAGTTGCTAAACTTCTGAAGCTATCCAAAGAGCTGCAACTGCCTCCTGAAATAGAAGGTTCCATACTTGAGGCCAGACTAAATTCTCCTTCACACGTAATGCTGCTGGCAGTTTTGGGATTTTCTACCCTATTTGGACCCTGAAATTGATGCAGATAAGATCAGCCTGGTACATTATACTGTTTTTTTCCTTTTCTAAGAAACACAGTACAGTAATAATACAGAAATAGGATAACAAACAACTGCAATAACACCTCAATCCTGAATTAGTTGGTTTTGCATATAAATTCTCAACATCAATTTTATTCCATCTTCATCCATTTTTTTCCCAATACTTTATAATTTGTACAATGGGACAAACTAGGGATACTAAAACTAGGACTTATCTAAACCTGACACTTAACCCTACATGACATATAATCTCTATAACCAAGCTGAAAGGCACTTTGTCAGATATCAGACGTAATGCAAGCCTACCAACATTACTAAACCTAATTCTAACTAGTTGTATAGTGTATATATGGATATTCTGCTTCCATTGTCTTGTTCTTTGCTAATTTTACACGGAGTTAGTTTTATCAAAGAAAAGGTCTGCATGGATTCCAAAACATTTTAGAATCATATCATCAAAAGTAACAAAATTTATAAGACTGCAATGCTTTTTATAAATCTAAGTCTGGCATTCAGTGGTTTCAACTAAACAAAAGAAAACGAAAGGAGACGGGGGACCCCAGAACTCTATCGCTTACAGTAACGAAAGCCTTTTATGTGCCTACAGCTACTCTTTTTGTCAACTATTGGATTGAGAAATCAAAGGTAAAAATGACGACTTCGAAAATCATTTCAGAACCCCTTAAATGACTAGTAAAAAAAAAAGAAACAAAAAAAAACACCAATTATTTTCACAGCCTCCTGTTGAGCTTGACTGCTATTTCACATAACAAACTACACGACTAGTCAAAAGAAATAAAAACAGCCAAAGTTATTTACTTGGATCTCAGCTCAGTAAGGAAGCTGGACAGTTCAACTTCAAAGAATTCCTAACCCTAGCCGTTATTCATGCAAAGTGGTCATGACACATTTTCACATTTGGGTACCTGTTAGCCATACAAGCATTTATCATGTTGATGTACCTCCTAAGTAATTCATAAGTAATTTACTACATGATACATGACTTGGAGATATTCTATTTCTTTTCACCAAGGAACAAGTATATGCACACTTCCATACACTGACAAAAATGTGGTATGCTATGTCAAAAAGTTTCTTATGCGTTTGATCACCATCTACATTCCAATTTCTCATTGATTTACCTGTTCCTATTTTTTTATCTAAGAGTTTGTTTGGGGGTTGGTTGGTGTTTTAGTCATAAAAATGGCATTTTGAAGCTAAGGGAATTTCAGAAATACCTGCCACATCTGAGTTGCAGTAAGCTGGAGGTCATCAACAGAAGAGTGACCAGGGTCACCTGCTTTTTCATTAAGCAAATCAACTTGAGGTCTCCTCCCATGTGCTACAATGGACACACTATCTTCAAAAGCATTGGTAGAAGTAGAAGCAGTCCCCGTTTTGATGAAATCTTCACAAGATGGTCCGACTTTAGAAGTTAATTCTTTAATCTTTTGTTCTAAGAGAATACCTAAATCATCACCACCAATGCGAAAAGAAGGCATTGTTGATGTCCTTGAATCAGACTGATCATCATAGGAACCTGGAAAAAGACACAAAGCACTGTTCTTTTCCAAAACATGACTTGATGAAGTGGGGCCAGGCATTGATTTTTTGATGGGTGAGGTGAAAGTAAATGACACTACATCACTCCCATTTTTCCTGTCAGCTGTTTCCCAATTGGAGCATCCTTCAATAGTTAAGTTACATTTTATAGACCTCTCATCTTTATTCTTCATCATATTGTCAGCACCACATTCATCAGAACCAATATCAACATTGACTGGCTGTTTCTTTCCAGTAAAGGACCTCACTCTGGAGTCCCTAGATGATGAAAGGTCCTTTCCAACGTCAGTTTCTACAATACTTGCAATTCCAGTAGCAGCTGTGGTATTTACAACAATCCTACTTACAGTCTTGGTTGACCTAGACATGTTACCAGTAGATGATGATTTTTTCTCTTTATGGTAGGGAGCTGAAGTGTTCGAACTCTCCCCGTCTTTATTAGATGCAGAGTTCTGCTTCTGGTTGTTCTGTCTGAGCACATCAGAAGGACGGTTGAGAGAATTTTTCCTTTCCCCTACTTTTACACTTGTCCGCCTCCGACCAGACTTAGACTCATTCTGTTCTTTCTGGTTCAATGGGTTCTTACTAGAAGTAGATTCCTTCCCCTCTCTTTTCTGAACATTGGTCTTTGCCTGAACTGCTAGTGAAACTGACTTCTCCTTCCCCTTATTCTGGGATACATCTCTTCTTGATACCTCAGAAACCCTCAATTGACGCAAATTATCTGATTGAACCTGGCCTCTTTCACAGGGTTGTCTTCTGACGTTCTTTACAGAATTTTGTTCTTTTGGCCTGTGCGGTGCTTCATAAATACTAGACTGTCTCTGAACAGCCTCTATTTGATCTCTCAAGTCCCGTATTCTCAAAGGGGCAGAGGAAGACCCAGAAGATTGCACCTTTTCTCTGGCAGCGGGTCGAGGACTCTGCTGGTATATTTTAGCAGCTGCCTCTATTATGTAAGCTGCATTCTTAGGAGGGATGAACCCAGGACTCTTGATAGGAGATAACAATCTTGGTTGAGTAACTGCAATAGGTTTAGCTGATTTTGGAGGCAATACCTCACTTTGGAACCTCTCGATGGGACGGCTCTGCACCTTCTGCAGCCTTACTTCAACAGGGTTTCTCTTAAATCCGTCCAGTTTATTTCGCATGTTACCATCGACTATCATATGATGTTCATTCTGGAAATCAGCTATAAAACTTAGGTATGGAGAATCTCTGAAGGAGTGACAATCAGAGGATGCATTAAAATTGGGATCAGACTCTTTTGAAGTTGGCAAAGAATCCAATCCCATAAGACGTGCAACAACCCCAGGTGCTTTTTGACCATAACTTTCATCCTCAGCTACTGATGAAGCACTATAGAAATCATAGTTCTGCTTGGAGTTGGAACCAAGACTATGATCGTGAGCCTTCAATAATATACAGATTATCAAAATGATAGACCAAAAGATATGATAAACAGTCACAGAGATAATGTCTTAAATTATTTGAGAGGAGATAGCAGAGTAAAGTAACAAGTTACCTGCTGAAGTCTTAAATTGGCTGATCCATTGGCATTTTCTTTTCCTTGTTTAGAGTTGTCTACAGCCACAATAACAGGAACATGTATAGCAAAATATTCATCAATAAGCATCAGTTACAAGAAAAGTGGCCTTCAACTGCCAACAGGCAAGGAGAAAAGGAGTTACCAGGTAGTTCAGACTTGTTAGAGAAAAGCTTCTTTCGAGATTTGATATTCCAATCAAATAGCTGAAGAAAGCCTCCCTTTGAAGTTCTCTTTTCAACCTCCATTTTCTCATTTAATAGAACAATGCTCCCATGTGGATGTATCAACAAACAAAATCTGTTGTCAAGAATGGAAATTTTCAAGGCATCTGGTCCCAGATGTTATACAAAGAATGAAGTAAACAAGTAATCAGAGGAAACAAAGACTTCCAACCAACTTCACACAACTTCCATTTAAGAGTGTGTTTAGAAATTCGCTGTGATATCTGGTTGGTCATAAAAGTAGGTAACATATACAAATTGTATACGGATACAAAAGGGTATACTTGTAGTATTCTTGTACATTTGAGTACTAAGAGTTGACATCCATATCTACATGTTGATTATTGTTGAAATTATATGGCATAAGGTGTTGTTTGATTTACAATTTAGTTACAAATGGATTAAAATACATGTTTGCTTACGCAAAGAATGATGATGTTGGAATTGATGCCAGGGATGCAAGTCTAGTGGTGATAGTTTAACACATAATGTGTTGGTTAGGCACATGTTCACAAGTTTGAACGTTAAAGCAGACAAAATCCTAATATTCAAGCAGAGAAGGATAGAGGAGCGGGCCATTATCTATCAAGATTCGAACTATGCGCCACTGGCCCTTGCAGATTTCTCATTTATCAATTACCAAAAGATAATAATAACCTAGGAATTGTCATGCGATAAATAATAAAAAAGCAGTATTCTATAGGAATTGTCTACATTTATTTGACCACATCCCGTGTAATTAATAACTCAAATTCTCGTATAAACAATATATGTATTAGTAAACGTTGCATAAATAATATTCCGAATTCTATATCGGTGTTAGAACATCCTTATCCCATCAACCAAACAACCTCTAAGAGGTTAACATTCATAAAGGAAAATGATTTTCCCAATAGCAACAGAATTCATTTCCTCTTTTCTCGTATAAAACATTTTCCCACAACTCAAGGTCTCAAATTATCGCTTATGATTTCATAGAGTAATTATTTTTCAGGATAGCATAATTCTCCATAACAAACACACATAGCATTTCGAGAAATCGGCTACAAGATGCAATTATCACAAAGCTCAAACCTAACTATTTCTAACCAGCACTACTTCATTTGAGCAAATAAAAGATTCTCGAAGATCCGACAATTAAATTTCTACATCAAAGTAAGCATTTAAACCCATATACGCAAACTCATTTTGTTAAAGCAGCCAAAAACACCCCGAATCTTCAGCTACATTACAATCAAAATTAATCAAATTAAAATGCATAAACATAACCAAATAAACAACTCGGAACGATCCAGTCGGAACGATCCAGAAACAAACTCACCAGTGAATCTTCAAATCAGTCAAATCGCACATTGTTTCCACCATCAAAGAAGCTAAAAATTAAGATCTGAACTGTAGTTGAAGCTACAAACAAGCCTAGGGTTTTCAAAACAAAAAAAAACGATCGATGAGATGGTGGAGAAAAGGTAAAGGAAGAGCTTGAGAGAAAAATGTATGCTACTGTGTGTGCGTGAGAGAGAGAGGTGACTGAATTTGAAAATTAAAAGAGGAAGGTGAGAGTGAAGAGACAACGTTCTCACCGTTACAGGAAATTTTCTTTTTTTCTTTTTCGAATCCTTCAATTGAATTATTTCACCTCTTTTTTAATGTAACAAACTTAAATAAATACATATAACATAATCAAATAAACAAAGTTGTGCTTTTCCTTTTTTCTTTTCCATTTTATAATAAAGGTAATCATTATTTAATGATGCGGTCACATATTCAAAATAATATTAAAAAATATTTTATATTTTATAATTTATAATGTTCGAATTAAATTAGGGGGCATCTAAGTATTAATATTAACAATGAAAAATTAAAAATTTATTGAGTCAAAAAAATATTAAAAAAGTAAAACTTATTAATATGTATTGTTTGACTAAATTTATGTACTATTAAGACCAAAATATACAAAATTTATGCATTGATTATGTAATAATTGTAGTGCTTGAATTAATTTGTGTTCATTTTAATTGATTTTATTGAGCACCTCTAATTACAGTAGGTATGAGTAATTCTATGTAATCTATTTGTATGAATAGGAAAAAAATAGTTAATATTTTTTTCCCTCATAAAATATTGAAAATCTATTAAATAAAAAATATATAAAAAGTAAAACTTATTAATATGCATTGTTTGACTAACTTAAATTACTACAATGGCTTAAATAAATTTATACATTGACTTGACTGCATTATAATTGTAGTGTTTGAATTAATTTGCATGGACTTAAGTTGATTTTATGGAATACATACTTATTACTACTTTAAGAATAGGTATTGAGTAATTTTATTTGTCGATTTATATAGGTGGAAAAAATTACTAATATATTTATTTATCACTAAAAATTGAAAATTTATCGAGTAAAAAAAATACAAAAGAGTGAACTTATTAATATGTATTGTTTGACTAAATTTAATTAGTATTATGTCAAAATATACAAATATACATTAATTACGTTAAAATTGTAGTGTTTAAATTAATTTGAGTGCACTTTAATTGATTTTATGGAATACATTATTATATTCCTTCAAAGTAGGTATCGGGTAACTCTATTTGATCTACTTGTATAAATGGAAAAAGATTATTAATATTTTTTCCCTTATTAAAAGTTAAAAATCTATTTAATTGAATGAACTGAATTTGAGATGATCAATCATTTTTTTAAAAAAAATACTTATTAATAATATTTTACTAAATTTATTTAATACTATGATGAGATATGCAAAATCTATGAATTGATTATACAAAAACTCATTAATATGTATATGTATATAAGTTGACTAAATTATTTACCTTTATAATTGAAATATACAAATAATATTAAGTATATGATACGTGAAAATACAAAAATTATATAGTTACAAGTAGGGGGCTTATATGATTGGTTTTGAATTTTTTAAATATCAAATCAAATTATTTATATTAAAATTTCAAATTTATAAATTAAATCATATTAATAAAACTTAGATTTTTTTCGGGAAAAGTAGTCATACAAACATAAATTAATTTGTGCTCTAAATTATGTCAAAATACAATTATATAAGGTGTTACTTAAGAAAATTAACAATAAACATGAGATGAGCGACGACACTGAAATATTCAATAAAAAATAATAATGAAATCGCATAAAATAAATATTAAAAATTAATAAATCATGACGAAATTAATCATAATTTAAAAGTACTAAATCATGCTAATTAACTCTAATAAGTATTAGTTACATGACTAAACATTGAAGAAAAATAAAATTAGTTATGTATTTTAAATGCCTAAACGGATGTAAAACTAAAGAACAAATATTCGACATTATTGCCAAATCTTAGTGTTGAATTAATATTTATTTTGTTAGCATTAGTACTAATTTGATTTTAATTTGAGCCTTATTAGAATTATTTATATCTATAGACTACAATCTTTATTGGATCATTCAAAATTCGAAGTCTCAAAACTTAAAATAATATGTTAAAAAAAGTGTAAAGAGGGTACGAAAGAAATATTTAGAAATCATATCAAAGTAAATACTTTTGTGTATAAAATAAATTTTAAACATTATATAAAAAGTCGGGTTGATTTGTTCATTAGTTGACTCTTTTTTAGTTAAAGCAAACCAACTCAAGTATAATCGAATTTTTTTTCAATACCATACTAAGTCAAATCAAATCATGAATTAAATTTTTTTCTGATGTAAGTTTAACTCAATTTACGATGTGATTTAATTTTATATGTCCCCACTATTTTCTAATCTAGGTTATAAAAAATATTAGACCAAACATTGAATTAACTAAAGCAATATAAAAAGAGTTTATCTTTTTCTCCCTTTTCTTACCATTTATACTCCATCTTCCTAGTGGAATTATTTTAATTATCTTTCTTTTTATAAGGGAAAAAGAGGAAAAGGTGGTATTTGTTAATTTGTTTTTATTGTTTCTAGAGCCAACAAGGTGCAACAAAAAATGAGTATTGGGAGTATCCTTTTTCTGTTTTTGAGAGGACACAATATCTAAAAGAGTATAGAATTTCAATAATTCCAAGGTACTTGCATTGATTCAATTTGACTTTCCTAACCTAATTGCCTTATACTCGAATTGTAGTACTAATTTTTTAAAAATTATTAGTAAAAAATATAGTATGCTAGTGGAGTTACTTCCAAATATTCCTTCAAGTCATTTAGATAACTTTGTATGAGATCTCACTTATAGGTTTGTGTTAGTGGTGAAGTGGTGGGATTTCTTCATTTACTCTTAATTAAAAGTTTTGAGTTTAAGTTTTGATATGGTAAAATTTTTGTTAGGGTTTATTTTTAAATGGATCCTGCAATGAGTGATCTAGATCTAATCGAGAGAAAAGAACTTTTGTACCCCAAAAAATAAAACTATTTACAATTTTGTGTTTATTATTTGATACCATCACAATATATATATACTCGGATGGTATCAAAGAGGCAAAAATAATGCTTTAATGAAAACATTACCTAGTTATTCTTTGATATCATTAGTATATAGTCCAATGACGACATCAAGGAGGAATAGATAGTGTTTCAGTGAAAAGATTGCTCAATTACTCCTTGTAGATGATATCACCAATGATTCAATTAATAGAACAAGGGACGATAAATAGTTGGGCACGGTTCAATCAAGATAAATATATTGGGTTGAATCCAATTTGGATAATACTTTGTCTAATAATTCAATTTGTGTAGTTTCTCCTTTATTAAGGACTCCCATATGGGTTCCGAATACTGGACAAAAAAAAAAAAACTTTATTGCTTCATTGACTTGTTGAGAAAAACTTTTCTTTCTTTTTTTCTTTGCGCATAATATTCTCTTCTAAATACTATTTCCTTCATCTCATTTTATGTCATCTTTCAAATTTCAAGAGTCAAAATAAATTTATTTTTTATCGTAAAATTTTTATAGATCTATTAAATATTTTGAATTATCAATTATTGTGACTCATAGTATTTTTTACATAGTTTATAAATATATAATGTTATTTTAAAAAAATTATAAATCTCATGCGCGAAGTATTGACCGTAAACGTTTTGTAATGTGAATGTGATGTAAGAGTTTCATGTTTCTAGTCAAAAATAAAATAAAATTAGAAGTCTAAGTGATAAGTTATTTTTTAATCTGAATAAGTAAAAGTAGACCATCAAACTAACCCAAGATTTAGTAATTGTTTGGAATTATTTTCTCACAATTATTGATTTTTCATGTGGCAGAATGCATCATTCATGATAGGTCCCAAAATTAAAGGTGACTTTAATATTGCACTGCAAAATTTCAAAGTGTCCAACATGAGTTTGTCACATTCAAAACCAGCAAATGAGGTTTAGGGGGACCATCATATCATAGCCATGTGGAAATACAACAATATAAATAATTATATTAATGCACAATTTCTTGATGTGAAAAAATAAAAGTACTAAAATTTAAAACTTCGTACTAAAAAATATTTTACTCATCGTGAATCTAACTTAGTGAGCTAATAGATTTTTTATATTTAAAGTATAAAAGGTAATATAATAATCTTTATTTTACGTAAGAAAAGTAGTCTTTTATATTTTCAAGTTAACAATAAACTTTGTATTCTTCCATTAAAAATGTTGATTATAATACCTTGAAAGAAATTGACAAATCATAAGATTAGTATGTGTTTTGGATTTTAGGTAACAAAGTCCTTCATGGCATTAAACATGATGAACCCCCCTTTTATGACTATATATAAATGAAAAGGATTTATAAAATTATGCATGTGAATTAGGTCAAAAGATTCTGAAAATCTAAATTCCATTGGCTATATATATATCTAATATGTTGATATCTTAGATCCCCATTCCAATCATAATTGCTACTATATCTTATCTTTCCTCTCCCTATCCTTTGATCCCTCGTATTAGTTGTCTAACTTTTTTTTTTAATACGTCATTTCAAAAATTATAATAAAAAAGATTTTTTTTTTATTAATTTACTTTGTAATACTTTTCTATTAACGTGTCCTATCTATAAATATCAAATTATTAAAATGAACTAAAGAAGGATTTTTTTTTAATAAACTGACATTAATAATGTGGACAAATAATATGAGATGAAGAAAGTATTTATGAGAATGATGAAATATATCGTCAATAACAAGTAGCTTGATATTGAGCATAGTAGTAAGTTGTTGATTTTTTTGTCAAACTACATTATTAAGAATCAAATTTAGAATATGTACGTAAAGAGTAATTTATGGAGATTGAAATTTATTATTTGTACATATATAGTTAACTTTTTAACATAACATTATTGTCTCATTTATAATTTTATTTTTGGAATAAAGATTTTAAAAGGGTAGTGTGAGAGGACCATTAAAAAGCACTTTCTTCATTCCTCCAGGAGACCCCATTAACAACTATTCCATAGTTAGGAGGAAGTTGATATGTGAGCTGTCAGCATTTGAATCATCTGACTGAATTATTATTATTCTTTCTTTATAGGAACAAGAAAGCAAGTACCAAAATTATGTATATATGGCTGCTAAATCAACAAGATAATTGGCTTAATTGCAGGTACTAATAAGAAAAAAACAAAACTGTATGAGCTCTTTTTTCATATTTTAGACCCCACGCATCAGACGAGAAAAATTCTTGATTTAGATTAATTCCAAACGTACATACCACCTGGTGCATGCACCAAAGTAAAATTTGATTTTTGTATGATGTTTACTTCTAAATCGTGGTTGATTTATACAATTCTAACTTCAATTTTTATACTTGACCATCATAGATCAACGTGATTTGGTATTGTAATGGATATATTTATCAAAGATTAGAGGCGGCAAAGTCAAATCTAATCCGCTTAATCTATCCAATCCATTAAAATTTAGCTCAATCTTTTTAATTCAATCCATTTAAAAATGCTGTTGATATATATTCCAAATTCTTATCAAAATATTTATAAAAACTTCTTTTTTAAAAAAATTGGTATGTTATATATAACCACATTAAAGAGAAAAAAAAACTTTTATTAGGAACTAAAATATTGTAAAACAGCAAATTAAATAATTAAAAATTAGTAAAAATTAGATTTGATTGAATTTTAATCCGTTTCATAATTCATTATCAAACTCATTTTGACCCAAACATCTTGACCCTAGCAAAATTGGATTGAGTTGAATTAAGTCTTAACTCATTATTTTGACCTACTCAAATTTGACTCAACCCGTCCAATTGCCACCATGTTCAAGATAACTCTTGACAATTGGAGAACAAATCAAGGTGCTTTTATCACCCCCTCACTGGGACCGTAATCATCATAAAATACCAAAGAGAAAGGGTTTATTTTGGTGTGTTATGAATAATTGTGTAGCAGAATGCACGCCCCATGTCTCGCAATAATTAATCTATGTTTTTTTTTATTTCTCGTGTTTGGTATCCACATTGAAAACCAACTAATTTATATTGACACGGGGTCGAGTCCAGGATTTTGTCATACTCAAAACTTGAAAGCACAACCTTGGAGGAGGCTCATTTGCTACACATCTTTTGATGGTGCAATGATAAATGATAGGGTTACATCATACAACTGTAAAGCTGCCACTTCATGAAAACTAGGAGCTCTTCTGACAAGAACATACATTCTTGCATTGATCCAAGAAACAGTATAGTCAACAACAAAACTGGAGCTAGAGCCACAGAGAGGGCAAGATTTACGTGAATGAGATTCAATAACAAGCCACCGTGACAAGAATTTAATGATAATGGGGTTGTCATTTCCTACCAAATACTCATGCAAAAAGACTTCAACGCAGATCATGAGGAACAAACCAAATATGTATTTAACTTTGATGAAACAAACATTCAATAAAGATAGACACCTCTCATTTATGCTGAGGTAAGTTAAAATGTACAATATCAGCACAACAACATGCGCTTCATTTATGCTTTCTTGAAGCCGAGCATTTGACTTGGCTTTGGGCCAAAATATAAGATGACAGTAATAAAAGAACTCTCACCTCTTTGAGACATAAGTGCAGGACATGCACTTACTACTCCAAGATGCATCTTTTGCCTCTTGAAAATGAGCATCTTGTTGTATGAGATGACCATATTACTGATTACAATAGTCAATAATAAAACATGTCAAATTTACTTTATCAAAACTGAACCATGCATGACATAGCTGCTCAAATGACATTACCCAAGCTTAAATTGATATTTGTAATGTCGCCTTCTCTTGGGTTTAAAATGTAGACCCTTCACGAGGAAGACTTGAGACAGTTGTCACATGGATTAGAACCATTCTTGCAAGAATATTGGTCAAAGGACTCTCCGAAGTGTTCAAGTAACAATTTTCTACGACATTCATTCTGCAAATTTAAGGTTAGTGTGATGATTAAGTACATAACATAGAGAGATGATTCAAGAGACTGTACAGTAACAGAAGAGTTAGCTAGAATAATGAGGACTATTCAAGACACCAAAGCTCTGTAGGATATCAAATAACATACCTTAAGTTCACAGTATTTCTGCATTTTTCGAGCTTGTTCCATGGCCCTCTTCAAGCTTTCCTTTTTATAGCCCTGCCCACTTCTTAGCATGCATACAACTCGACTGAAATCCTTCTTTTGGTATAATATGACACATGTAGCAGGAAGGCCATCTCTTCCTGCCCTTCCAGCTTCCTGATAATAACTTTCAATAGATTTGGACATTGTATTATGAACAACGAACCGCTGAAAATGCAGAAAACTATCAGTCCCCTACCTTATTCTCTGAACTGGCAAACAGTGCATATAATGGAACTTCTAAATCAAAAGAACTTTCACTCTGACTATAACATCAAGAACCTTCATAGAAGATTTCAAGCTAAAATGGCTAACCAAATCTGGCTTGCACCTCTATGGCTTATGCCCAACACTATATAGGCTTTTTATATTTGTAGCAAGATCACTTATCAATGACATTTGATTGACAGTCATATTCGGAACATCATCAGTCATCAAAGAGGTCATATTATGAAAGAAGCAGAGAAACATCACAGTTCACGAGAACTCACAACATCAGGTTTGTCAATTCCCATTCCAAAAGCAATAGTTGCACAGACGATATCAACCTCTCCAGAGCGCCACCTCTTCTGAACTGCAACCCTCTGACGAGATGCTAAACCAGCATGATAGTATGCTGTTTTGATTTTGCATTTCTCATTCAAAAATTTTGAAACATCCACACACTCACTTTTTGATAGGCAGTACACAATTCCCGATAGATTCTTGAATCGATCCCGTACTAGATTCCCAAGTTGCTTAAGTGGCTCTTTGCTCTTTCCAGTAACTTCATACTTTAAATTGGATCTATCAAAACTAGTCTCAAGGACAAGGGCACGAGGAATTCTTAAAGCACTCAAGATATCCTGCAGAATGGAGAAACGGTGAAAACTAAGAAAATAAACAGACCTCACAAAAAAGAAAATTAAAGTAGCTGCCTTACTTGACGGACTGCGTGGGTTGCTGTGGCAGTTAATGCCATCACTGGAACAACTGGAAAATTTTGCTTAAGACATCCTAATACTCTATAATCTGGTCGAAAATCATGTCCCCACTGGCTGAGAAACAAGTAAAAGAACAGATCAAATATACCTTAAATTAGCTAAAACCATTGACAAGATCTTGCCTATTGTTTTTTCTATTTCTCAGATTATTTGATACAGGAACTGCATAATTTCCAATCACTTTCGTGATTCTTTTCACCAAACATATAAGAACGCCCAAAACTATGCATTCAAAAAAGTAAGATTGACACAAGTCAACAACAACAACAACAACAACAACAAGAGCATAGAGTTTCTTGATGGCTTTCCTGTCCCCTCATCTGATACATCAGTTTGCACTATTGTATTTTTACCATTTTTCCTTCTGAACAGTTAAAGATGATTTAGAATAAGGGCATACCTCACACAGTGAGCCTCATCAATAACAAAACCAGCCAATTGTCCCTGAAATTAGTCCAGTAAAACTTCGATTTACAAACACCATCTAGCAATATTCTGAACTTAAATAAGATAAAATAACTAACCGTGGTTTATGCTTACAAAAACCTTACCTTTCTATGCATGCATTCTAAGGTTTCTTGAAATGATAAATTTCCAGCTATCCTCTCAGGAGTTACATAGAGGAGCTTGCAGGATGGTACATCTTTCCTAGAAGTAAGAAAAAAGGATGCAAATCCAGAATATGATATTAGGTACAAACTACAGGATTTCTGGACTACAAGAACTGCTACAACTTTCAATGAAAAGAATTTGGGGTTTATGATAATACTTTCTAAAGAAGCCAAGAAGTCAGATTAGATAAAATTCTATTTCAGTTGACAAGCCCATTCAAACACTTGAAAAGGCTTCTTGTAGTAAAATAATTTAATAGAGGACGGAATCGGCATGACTTGGCATTTGATCTGAAATTATGTCAATAGAGTCAGTCTTAACTGAAAGCAAGTGTAAGTTTCAAGGCATTCACGATTTACTTCATAGCGAAAGGAAAATGTGTGGGGGAGATGAGGACAAAAGACCAGTAAAGGTAAAAGTGTCGGCCTCCCCATTTCTACTTTATTTGCGAGAGCTATCTTCCAAGCTTGTCATACTTGCACGTATTTAAAGCAAGCAAATTCTTTTTGTCTGGTGCCACAGGAAACAAGATGAGACCTGCTGAAAGAGCAGTAGGCAATCCTGACAACACATGCATGGTAGGGGCTTGCATGAGTATGCATATTATGGACCATGAGTCATGTGATGACCATAAAACATGTTTTCTTCTGTGGCAGGCTCAAGAAGTATATTACTAGTCATGCTCAAGAAATGTTCTCCTGAAAGTCAATCAGTAAAGTTCATAATTTAGAGGAGCAAATAAGTGGATATGAAGATACACAAGTAAAACCATGCCTTAATTCTCGTAGTACAGCTGCAGTCTGTGATTGAGTTTGTTGGGAATTTAAAAAGGTTGCAGGTATCCCGAACTTGAGGTTAAGGGTAATTATCTGATCCTGAATTAGTGAAAGTAGGGGGGATATTACAATCATAACACCAGGTTGAACAATCGCTGAAAGCTGCATAGCAGAAAGGAAAATAGAATTAGTGCTAACATTAGTCAGAGTCTTGACAAATGATGGGTGACTGTAATATCCTAAAGCCCAACCTTGAATTAAAATATCAACAAAGCTGAAGAGCTTTAAGCATTTGAAAACCATTTTTAAGTGCATACATATGACCTTAAGAATATAGTAAGAGCAAAGCTTTCTCTGCGTTAGTTTTTGTTTCAATAAGTGCTAACAAAAGTATTCTTTTAGTAAAGAGTGCAAACCCAGATACAAGAAGCATACAATGGTAGAGATCCTTCCAGAAAATATGGTTTTTGGTTAGTTGTCTAGTGGGAAAAAAAGATGGGAGAAAATTCCATGGAAGCGTTAAAAATATGATAAAGTATAAGAAAGCTGTCTTGTGTACTTTTTCGTGTAAATAAATGATAACTTGGTGCCTATGCGACTGGGTTAACTTTTTAGCTAATTATGGTTGATAAAACCACACTGCATATATATTTTCACAAATATATATCATATCTGATGAATTAAATATTATTATTTATTTTTAAAAAAATTTAAGAACTTGATATGCACCAACAAGAATCTTTCACCACTTCTCCTAACACAATCATTTTCTAATTTTTTCCAACTCAATGGGATTCTTTGCACAGCACATTCCAAAGTTGATGGGTGAGAAAATTGGAAATCATGCAATATCCCATGCAAGATGTTATGTACTTCCTGGACATCCCTTAAAATTTTTTTTGTACATTCACCTTAAGCATGATTTATGTGTCTGTGATAAACAGTCTTATAACCTTTCACAGTGATATGTGGTGAATAGTAACTGATTCCTCACTAGGAAAGTCAGGACAAGATAACACCAGCTGGTATGACCAAAGGTAAGAAAATAAACAACAGAAGCAGTTACGCAATATTCTCATCTTTTGGCAGACAAGTCTGCAACTTTATATGCATTGGAACTACGACTAACATTTCAAACTAGATTTCACCATCTGCAGGTTCAATATGAATCAAGAAGTTCTTGCCATCATGCATCACTCAAGACAATACTCAGGGAAAGGACCATCTGTATAGTAAAGAAAGCTACCTGGTAGCAAAGACTTTTACCACCTCCAGTTGGCATTAGAACAAAGCAATCACGTTTTTGAAGAAATGCTTGACAAGCTTGATGTTGTAAAGGTCTAAAGGACCTGTTTCCGAATACTACCACATTTGCCAGTTCAATATCATCCAACCTTTGCAACTCTTCATAACTAAGGGTTCTGTCTCCGTGACTTGATTCCAAGGGGCACTCCATTTCAGGGGAGACTGATGAATATGAACCTTCAGTAAACACGCTCATATAATCCTTTCAACAGGGGCAGAACATGGAGTAGGAGGATTTCAGTCAGTACTAGATAAATTGGATCAGATAGAACAAGAAAAGGGGTGATAAGATGTAAGCTAATAGTAGATTATATAGCCATTCATTTGGATCTCAGCTATTTGAAATAATTTACAGGATGATTCAACATACCACTGGTCTAATGCAATGCTGCAGTAGAACTGTTGATACTTTAACAAATAAACAGAACAGTTGATAGAAAAGATCATAAGTCTAAATAAGTACTACCATCAACGTTGAGGCACGGCACCCTGATTGTGGAGTCATGCCCTGGTGAATTCTATCACGGCGAATCTTAGAGGTAGAGGGGAGATCCTCTTTGCTTGCAAATCTAATACCCATCTCTTCGCTTTCACTTGAAGAATCCAACAGCACTGTTTTTGCATGCCTTTGCTGTTGGGGTGAATCCTCAATAACATGGACATAGGCGCCAGAATCCTCATCACAATCAACTTCACAGTCCTCACGAGTATCCTTACCCAACATATCAGCTAGAGCTCCACAAGCCTCTGATTCAATTGCTTGCAAATCATCCCAATCCTCAGTGTCTTGCATAGATTCAGCCAGCAACGCCAGAAATTCATCTCCACAGAGCTCCACATTGATGAAATCTCGCCCATCATCACCTTCACAAGTGAAAAAAATAAATGACAACTGTAATAGCTCCACCAATAGACTCCTAAATAAGAACCATGTAATCAAGTATATCAATGAAGTAAGCCTCAATCCAAACCTAGTCAGAATCACCTGCAAGAATCTTTTCATAATTAGACAATAACTTGAGTTACTTTTTCTTTTAAACATATATAATCCTGATTCATGAAGCAATAATTGTACTATTTCTGGGCTACTGCGGTAAGGAATGGGAAAATGGAGGGTTTACCGTAGAGCTCAACGAGGCGATTCAGGCACGTCTTTGCGGAGTCTTCATCAAATCCGCATTCAAGGGCTAAGCTTATCAGTCTAACTTTCTCTAACTCGAGATCTTCGTCCTGCATTTCTTCAGCGTCTTCAATCTCCGCCTTTCGCGGCCGTCGCAGCGGTGGCCGTCGTTGCTTTTCCCGCGCTTTCATTTGGCTTTTCAGAATCAATTTTAGAACTTCTTTTCGTACTACGAAAATTGTATTTCGAAGTTTTATCCCACTAGTTTTACTTAAACGACGGCGTTCTTGTGTTGGGCTTGGAGCATCTGTGATACTATGACCCAAGCCAAGGCCTTTGAAGTCCATGTCTTTATAAGAAGCATTAAATATATATATATGTATACCAAATATAGATCAACCACCTTTTCTACTCCTTAAAAAATGTTTTTTTATCTCCTCATTTAGATTAATCTAACTATTAAAATGAGTGAATAAGAATATAGACTTTGAAGAACTCATTCATCACATAATTAAAAAAAATGGATCCAACACACAATCAAAATTTACCATCTAAATGATAATGGCGATAAATGTGAGTTTTGTAATTCCTACATCTGTAATAGAAGTAAAGCAACGAAGGAATAATCAAATGAGATAAGATCCAGAAAACTAAAATTACACACAATCCATCCATATTTTACACAAAAGGAATTACATATTGGAGAAGAAAAAAAAACAAAATATGAACAAGAAGAAGATGAAGAAATACAACAACGTAACATACATGAATATAATACACCAAAAGAAAAATAATAAAAAAGAGGCATGCCTAGAAGCCATGAATGATTCTAGAGCAAGTATGTTTGAACCAACGATAACCATTTTTAAAAGATCTCTTAACTTTTCCTTCCATGGAATATATCTTATATTTTGCCACCCTCTTCTTCCTATTAAACTCCGGATTCGAGTACCATGTCTCTCTTCCTCCTTTTTTATAATTCGTCTCTGCGATTTCGTACTTATTCTTCTGAGAATATGGCTGCATCATATCCATCGTCCCAAAATGATTATAATTATTATTGTGTGCTCGAATAACGTATACGTTATTAACTGCATAGGCTTTGTCATCGATGATTCCTATTCTTTGCCCGCTGTTAACATATCTCCGATGAGCAAACGTGAAATCTTCCATTAGTTTTTTTCTTCTTACCTCCGCCTTCTCTCTCTCTGATGGTTTTGTGGTAGAGAGATAGAGAGGGGTGGAGGAGAGAAGATTAAGGCTTTAGAAATGCGTCTTAGAGACTGCAAATATATAGAGGATGAGATTAATGGGAGGTTGAAAATAAATACTCTCATGACTAAGAGGGTAAAAATGTAAAAATTCTAAAAGTAGAATTTAGTCTCATTCAGTGGTAAAATTGAACATGGATACACAAAAAAAAAAAAAAGGACAAAATTGAAGTGAGTGTTGGAGAGTAATATTATCAACTGGATCTAAGCTTTTCAATTATATTTTGGCCTCAGAGAGAAAATGAAATAGGATTCCGAAAAACCAAAACTAATTTAACCAATGTTACTCACAAGCCTGCAACAGTTCAAGGCTTTAAACTGTAAATATGTGCGTCTTTTTCAAAAGAAAAATGCTTACATGTGACTAAAACTTTGGTGTATTATAACAACTTTATTTCCCTAGTTTTAACTTAAAGTTTGTTCAGTAAGCTCCTTAGTCTCGGCGCTTTGTGAAGCTTTATCAGTTTTGGCCTTGGCTTTCCGCTTTTTAACTTCTTTTTTGGAAATCTTCGAATTCGAGTTATCAATGTGGGAAGCCTGGAAAAAGAACCAGAACAAGTTAAGTGAGCATACAAAATTTTATTGATAGTAGTAATACACAGCAAAAAGAACACTGAGCTGATGAAAATAAACGTCTTAAAAAGAGGAAAAACAAAGAAAAGCCCAGAGGTACTCGATTCATACAATGTGTGACTTCCACTCAATTTTGGAATGCCCATCCTGGTCACCAGTAGGTTGTGTGTAGCCGCGAACATGACGAAATATGTGAACAAGAACAGCAGCATCAAGAGCAGCATATTCTAGCTGCATAACAGTGCAAATAAGAGGTATTATTATCAATTACCACAGAGCCCAAAACCATAATAATGCCCTAGGACCAGATCATATCATTCACAAAGACAAAGCCACTAGCATCTTAATCTCATTTCTTTAGAAAAAATACAGCAACCCACATACTACAACAAGTACAACTCTATACAGCGATACACATACTAGATATGAATACACGCGGGAAGGTATTCCACATACTAGCAATACCCTTTATCTGTGATACTATAAAAATGTACAACATTTAGCACACATACCTGAAACTGAGTTAAAGGCCGTTGCTCCCAGTTGCTATTCCTTCTTGTTTTATTCAATCCAGTACCCAATATTTTCTGTGTCAAGAAACAAGCCAAATAAAATAAAAGCAAGAACTAAAAATCCATTCGTTGTTCTAATTAGTATTAATATTGTATCTCTTAACTACAAAACCAACAAGAATTTATACTCTGCATATAGATACAAAAACATTACACGTGCGACGACAAATGTGACTGCAGAATACGAAATACCTTTGTCAGACCAGAGAGACCACCTCTTGGTTCTTTGAACACATTCTGGATATCGAGTAGCATGTCATAGTGCTTGAAGCATTGTAACTGCCCATAAGATATAGCAAGCTGCTTCACATCACACTGGAAGTTGTAACCTGAAAACCACCAAATTATGACTGTAGAATTTTGTCCGCAAATAAAGTATACAGATAGAAAATATACTGGTATACCAAAGAAAAGCAGGAATGTGTTCCATACAAATATCTAGTTAAATCAGCAATCCCCCTTAATGGACACATACTGCTTGATATAAGTAGTGCAAAGATTGTAAAGAAGCCATGAAAATCAACTAGTTTTCTTTCTTGGAGCAGAAAAGATGTAATGCACTTATAACAGGAAAATGCCCACAGATTAAAAGAATTTATCTCCCAACAAGACAATAATCTCTCTTACCAAGCTTCAGTACTCTTGGAGAATGCAATATGCGGGTTAAGCAGTCATCCAGTACATCCGGAGCATCTCCATTTAACTTAATGAGATCAAGTATATAAACTTTGTTATCTGAAGCAATCTGCATGATGGAAACCTGTCCCATGGGAAATAGAAAGACATTATACTGTTAAACATGCATTTGCTTCACTTCCCAGAAGTCAGTTCATCTTAAAGTGTTCTCCATCATGCCCAAAAATAAGGACAATCAATTCAAAGAATATAAAGCTTATTCATTTTGGGGATAAAAGGTTATCGCACAAAAGGCAACAAACTAGACTATACTAAAAGAGAGATTGGTAGGAAACATCATATTCTTTATTCAATCTCGCAGAAGGCGAATATCCTCTAGTTCCAAAATTGTCTGACAAACACATTGCAAAAAATCAAATAAAAAATGACATACATTGCACATAAAAGAATTGAAAGTCAACTCACTAGACAAACCTCTTTGTTCATCACGAGAGACACAAAAAGTTAACATTCTCAAATACTTCCATATTAGCAAGGGATTGTTAAACTCAGTTCTTCAGAAGAATCAGAACCTTCTACTAACACAATAAAGAGAGGGATGAATCACCCTAACTATGTACTATGCCTGATCCCAGAGGGAGTGAAATTAACCAAAAAGGGGACCAAGATTTGCCCAGAACCTATCCATGACTTATAAGTAATAATGACCACAGAGATTTATGAGTTAATAATAGATTCAAACAAAAAGAATAGAGAATAAAATGGGATATATTCACATGCATTCTTCCTTTGTCACCTGAGGCGAATCCATGAAAGCTAAATTTATTACGAATAGATCATTGGGGTTCTAGCTTATCAACCCTCTTCATAATGGAGGGAGAAAGAGATACATCTACGCTGCTAATTCATATTACTGAGCTACTATTACCAGAGACGAGCAGCACATGAGGCCATAGCCTTAGCCATGGAAGCAGATCTAAAGATCAAAAGCTCCTTATGAAGTTTTATATTTCACATGGCTGGTTCCAGATAATATGTTTTAACCTGTGACGACCTATAGAAAAGAGGAATTTTTCTATGCAATAGGTGCTACCTATGTGAAGGAAGAGATATGGAAATCAATGAGCATTTTTTTCAGATCAGATTTGGAAGCTATTTTAGAACTTGTTGGAGTCAAATGGTCCATGCTAAACAACATTGCTGATTTTTTGAGAAGCTGAATCAAGGCAGGTTAAAGAGAAGAATCATAAACACAATCACATCCAGAGGATAAAAGGCCAACAGCCAATTTTTTGTTTTACTTCTGGAGTAGAAGTAAACTTGTAAATGATGTTGAATCTATTTTAGAGCACTAGAATCCCTACCGATTTAGATAGGGTATACTTCTGTTTTCATACATTTGAGACAATGAACATAATTCCAGCACATTTCTGATGCCGTTTATGAATAAAAACTTACCATTTCAACACCAATAAAAAAAGATATTTAGTGGATGGAGAGGTAGATGACTGAGAAACAAATTCCAATATATTTCAGGGAAGAGTAACTATTCTCTTGTCTGTATTGTAGTTATAAATTAACACAAATATCTTCACTTTTCAGAATAGGTTAAGCTGATTGTGGTGTAGTCCAAGACATTTCATCAGTCATAAATATAGATCCCTCTTTAGATCGTGAGAAACAAGGAACACACTTTTTTACTACCATCCCTTAACAACAAAAGAGCATGATAATGAGGCGGGAAGAACTACTACTTATAAAAAATAGCTTTTATCCAACTAATACCTTATTAGGTGGGCATCCCTTTTCATAATTAGGCTTCCACTCACAGTCAACGCCCACAACTTTACATTCTTCAATGTCGAATGTTGCATCCAGTAAGCTATTCATTTCATCTACCCAGACTACTTCCTTAATTGACAATTCATCAAGCTGCAAATATCGGTGTGTTGGAATACTTTCCTCGAGCTCTATAGAAGTAAGAAAAAAAACAGGAATAAGACGAAAAGAAAATTTGCTTGGAGCTGACTACATCTGAAATAAACCACAAGCCAACTTCCAGAAATAACTAAAAGAAGGAAAAAACATAATCAACCAAGTCCTAGCAACATAAAAGGCAGCATAATGAAAACCGCATCATTTCAGAATAACTATATTGGGTGGATCTCAGAATAGTTGATCATAGATCAAAAGCATACACTTCTTTGTACCAAGAGAATCTCATCAAAGATTTAATGCACAGGTTGCAGCATGAGAAAGCATAGTCAAAGAGCAATCTTAGCAGACTCAAATTTCCTGTAGTTCACATCAATTCAACATTTATGCAGATTAAAACATTTTCGAGAGGTCAGCAAATATAGCTGATTAGTGTGTTAAATCTGAAAACTTAAAGAAGTGCTTAGGCTAAATACTTAACACGAAGTAGAGGTATCCAATGTACCTTTGACATTTATGAAACCTTCAAGGGAATACCGTTCACAGAGTTCCTCGACCTTCTCCATGTAACCAGCTTCCATAGCCAAATATACCTATTATCAAATACAACACATGTAAGTTTTTACTCAAGTGATATTGCACATTCACATATTGCAAAAGTCAAAAGGTACTTTTCACTTGTCTCTCGTGAACATTTATCTTTGAAGTATCAGCCCAATAACATAAAAAGAACTAAAATTTCTAAGGAATACATCCAACCACATCCTTTCATCGGACCAAGAAACTAACCAGGAATAATACACTTATTAGATAAATCTGAAGCTTATAAATGTCTTAGGCGCCTATGCATAGCATCTCTCGAGATTACAAACAACCTAAATCTTGACAACAATTCAATAGCACAAGAATGAGCTAGCAATTGACAACAAATTTGATGGCACTAAATTAATTAGCAATTGACAAAGTTAATGTAGCTGTGAACTTGCCAAGTATTCAAGAAGTTGTCGATCATCATTTATCCTTGCCTCAGCAACGTCCCAGCAGCCCTTTTCTGCTAGCTTCTTCAGTTTACTGTAAACTAATACTGTCATTCAGTGTTCATAAAAATTAGCTGAAAGGTTAAGTGACACAAAGTGGATGGAATCCACTTGCCTTTCTTTGTATTGACGATATATTTCTGGGAACTCCTCCCGAATATTGTTTTGCCTTATAACATCAAAGGCGTGCTTTAGTAGTTTTCTGTTGACGTATTCTCGGACAAGGGTGCATAAGATTGGCTTCCCCATAAAAGTTGCCCACTTTTCTGCTGCTCTGTATTCTTTGCTTTCCAACATTTTAAGCAGAAATGATTCGCCAGATTCCCGGAAGGAGAAGTGTTCCAACAATGAAACTGCAGTCATGTAAGACTGGGAATCTACTAACCTAGAAATATATTGTTCAACCAATACCTTAGCCGTCTGGCATGTGTGACCCTTCTCATCTACATCATACATAGCTTTTTCTATGTTTGACAGACTGACATCAAAAACTTCAAGGATTTTGACTAGGACTCTTTCTTCATGATGCAGAGTGCCGTCAACAATGGCAAGAAATAATTTGGCAGCCAAAAGCTTAGCTTTGTAGATACCATTCATGTCATTTCCCACTTTCAGGAAATGACGAAGGGCAGATATTATCAAATGACTGAATCCTTCACAGTGTGACTCAAATATAGGCAGCACATACAGGCACTGTGCAACAAAGATGGCTGCTCCAGGTTGAGGATCATTGTACAAAAACCCATACGCTTGCTGTTGCAGAACTCGAAACTTAGCAGTCGCCTTGCATGTTCCTATTAAGGATAAAAACTAGTGGGAAAATATAAAATGATAAAATATTATAAAAATGAGCTACACCATAATCATCCATAGAAGGAAACAAAAATTACTTCCACTTGTTTTGTTTCAAGAGCTATTGATGATCCTTTTCATTTCTAAGATTTCATGCTTTAGTTTTACCAAATGAAACTTGAGAGATTACCAACAATTTGGCTATGGCTGCTAAATGAGTCACAAGTCAATGATTGTTAAGTAAGAAATTAAGCCTGTGTCTCTAGCCACTGAGTCCTCCCTATGCAAGTCAGAAATCATTTCATGCATTTGAACTTTGACTAACATGTAGCTTTTGTTCTCTTGCAGCATAAACCTGCTAAATCATCTCAAAAACTATTCTATGAACTTCCTACACACAGATGATAGTAATAGTACTCATAAACTGAACTCCTTTTTGGATGAAGAAAAAGAATGAAGTCTTCGACTCTTCGTCATACATATGAACAAGAAAATCACACCTAGATCTTCATAGTTCATATTGCCAAAGGTGTTGAAAAAAAAAACTCAACAATTTCTTTTTTGTAAATTATCCAATTTTACAGATACATAATCTAGCATAGTCCGCTTAAAATCATCATGTTGCTCAAATGACATTGGAGGGAAAATGGTTAATTCAATATCCACAGCTCTACTATCATTATCCACTAATGTATTCACAATCACCATTTTGCACCAAGCCGCATCATTAGGGTGGTCAAATCAACAAGGTGAACCAGTAGGTGATAAGCATATCTCACGTTTTTTTAAGACTAGAACTTCACAGAAAGATGACAAGAATTCATGAGCCAGGATCATTTTCATTTGCTTCCAGTTTGGAGTTTAAAAGATTTAAATGGTCATGAGACAGTGTGGTTATTTAGGCGTAGAGAGAATGTCATTGACCAGAAGAGCAGAGGTAGGATGACAGTTCTTTATTCTTTACCATACAAGGATTTAACTCATGTCCCTCCTTGCTATGAAATCCTTGAAAAAAGATATTAAGCATCCAACAAATGATTATCAAATTCTTATCAATTGATCATTATACTGAAAAAGTTCCAATTGTCATTAGAACGATCAGATACCTACTAGTAAAATGTTTTTAAGGAAAAAAGTTTCTAAAACTTATGGAATGATCAAAACTAGGCCAGACAGCATTTTTTTAAGAAGAGAAAAAGTGTGGGAAGAACTTTACCATAAACATAGCATTCCTTTAAGAGGTAGAGGAAAACCACCGGAGAAACATTGGATAGATCGCACAAAGCATGTCTAGATACAGCCAAGGGATGCCGAACTTTATTTTGATTGTGTAGGTGCAAAAGTTTTTCATCCACACCCATGGTAGATAGTCGAAGGAACCAGAAGTAGAAAAAACCTGCATATTTAAATAAAGCACAGAATAAATATTCTCAAATAACATTGTCTACTGTAAGCTGGACGCTACAATGTCCCAATTCCCATAAACACAAGTGATTTTTGCAAGCAGTGTTTTGGACGGCGCAAGAAGCCTAGAACTTGAATGAGAAATAAACAAAACAAGTCAAAACAGTAAGAAAGAACAGAGGAAGAAGTAACTCTGAAGAGGAAGAAGGAAAGAGAAATGGAGGAAAAAGAAAAGAAGAAATATGTATTGATTGGACTTAGGAGTCGCCGGAGAAGTCTAGTTGAGTCAATCGGTTGGAGTTGGAGGCGCAGTCTAAGAGTGCAAATTAGGAAAGAAAACCCTAGAATTACCTTTTATACTTTTTAAAACCCTAAATTGGTAGCCTTATAAAAGAAAATACAAATAGCGACGCCTTTTTCAGCACGGTATCGCCTTTTGAAGATCGCTTGGGCACAAAGTTAATAGGCGGTGAAGGGTCGCCTCGCGCCCTCGCCTCTCTCTGTTGTGGATGAGGCGAGTTTTGCATTAAAGAAACATCTTCTAAGGCTATTATAGTCAATGATATGGAGGAGACAGGAACAAACAAAAATGCAATCCAAAAGAAACTGGCAATCCTTATTTAGATGACCTTAAGGTAAGAGAACCAACTCTTCAAATAATTGTGGATAACGAGGAAAAAATAATAAATAGTAAAACATAACACGCAATACGTCTAAACTTTCTCCCGATCAAGCTTTGAATTTTTGTAACCTCCCAAACGTGCAAGTTCTTTCTAAATCTCAGATCCCATATAACTTCTCCACCTTGCAGTGTACATATCAGTTGAACCGACATCTTATTATGGCATGAAATACTCTACATATTTGAAAAAGTAATTCACCAAGTGTTGTTCCCATGTGTCCTAAAAATGTACCCTACTTCCATCATTCACCCTAAATGGTCCCATTAAACTCTTCCACTCCTTTAAGATATTCCTACAAAGCCTACATCCATAAGGAAGTTTGGTGTTCTTAAACCTCCAACCCACTTCCAGAACACTATATTTCTCCTCAATCACCTCCCCCCCATAAAACATTCTCCTTTACACCAGATCTCCACAAACACTTCCCCTATGGCACCTTGCTAAGGTCTTTAGATTGTTCATCCCAAGTCCACCCCAACACTTCGGTGTCATAACTGTCTCCTAATTTACCAAATGAAACTTCTTTTCCTGCTTGAGGAATACCATATAAAATCCCTTGAAGCTTTCCCAACTTTCATATTACACTGAATGAAGCGTGTAACAAAGGCTTGAATTATACGGGACTGCTCGAAAGTATACTTTTGATTAACAGTTCTTTTCTCCCTGTGGATAATCTCTTTTGTTAATGAAAAGAAATGAGTTTTTGGTGCATGATGGAGGAAGTGAATCAAATATTGCATCTCAATGGGTCAAGTTCTCGGTCCTTATGAGTGGCAACATGTGTGGCTTCGTTGGTAGTTCTAGAGGAGTGAGACGGGGAAACCCATTTTCAACATAATGAAATCAAGATTCTCCTAGTTAAGTAGTCATAAGCTTTCTCAGGATCTAATTTGCAGAAAATTCCCGATTCCCCTTGCTTTCTCCTCAAGTCAACAATTTCATTTGCTATCAGTGTTGCATCTAAAAAAAATTGCCTTCCACAAAAGCATTGCATGAAGTAGACATCCTAGATATAATTTTCTATATGCTTACCATTAGACTAATAGGTCTGTAATCCTCAATACTAGTAGCATCTTCTCTTATTGGGCAAATGACAATCAAAGAAGCATTGAGAATTTTTTACAAATTCTCTTATCACCATAAAAGACTCAACTCACCTCTGACTATATTCCAACAATGCTCGAAAATGCTAAATTAACTTTGTCTAGTCTTGGAGCTTTACCCCTGCACAACACTCCACTACCTCCCACACCTCATCTTCCCATAGCTGTTTCAAACCACTACCATCTTATCCTTTCCTATTTCATCAAATGCTAATCCATCCAATTTTTAGGTCTCCAATCCACCTCCTCTTTAAACGAGTATTCATGGAAACCTCTTATTGTCCCTTTAATATCCTCCTTCCTCTCATGCACTACCTTCTCATATTTGTCACGACTCCTCGATGAAAAAGCATTTTGATCCAACCATAGCTACCTCAGAGAAGCTAGCTAACTCATTTTCACCTTCTCCTTTATTTCCGTTTACTCTAGCACCATCTCTCCTCTACCCTCTCTAATCCCCCCCCCCCACTTTGTTTATGATCTAGCGCCATCTCTCCCTCTACCCTCTCTGATTCCCCACTTTGTTTATGATCTAGCGCCATCTCTCCCTCTACCCTCTCTGATTCCCCACTTTGTTTATGATTACTTTCATCTTAACCTCTACTCTTCCAAACACCTCTTTATTCATGATCAAGACACCGGTGTTAATTTGCACCAAGTGCTACACGAATATTATAATAGATCGTGCAGTTCCCCTAACATATTTGGTATTGCATCTCTCAAATTTCAAACTCCCCCTCAAAAATAAATTCATTACTACCTCATCTCACTGAGAAGAAGACTTACATAAAAATCTACTCATAGCGGTCGGTGACAAATGTCAGCTTTCTTGTAGAAAATTTTGATGTATGTCTTGACATAAGCTACAGACATTAATGACACATGAAAAAATAACTTTGAAGGATTCCATTTTACAACATTAGCATACCAGAAATGATGAGCAGTTTCTCAAAAAAGAATCAAAGAAAAAATAGAAGGTGAATACTTTCATTACTTTGATTTTCCATAATTGAGAAACCGATGACCAACCAATTTTATAGACAACTTATTTGGGTCTTAATTGTGTAGACAAATAGATCAGATGACAACATTATTTGATGACAAAGCTTCAACATTAAGCATTTTGTGAATGGTGATAACTGGACCTGCTACAAGGTGATATATAGCTTCTCACTATCTCAAACATTAAAATCTAATCAATTATGTGTTCAAGTTTGCAAGATTCTAGTGAACTCATATTTGGAGTATATAGGTAAAGTGGTTGAGTATTAGATGGAGTATGGTACTAGTAGCAACTATGGCTATGTAATATATCTGTAATCTTTGTAAGTATATCTAAGGATCAAGGATCTATAAGAAGTTGCAACATACATGTGACATAGACCAAAAAATGACTCAGAGCTAAATGACAAATAGGCTAACCTTGGCCATTATTGCAACAAATTTAAATAACAGAAAGATGGTGGGGTAGCTTTTGAACTATTTTTTCCAATGAATTATCGTTGTTGTAGATCCATCACCTAGATATTGACTTGCTATACATTCAACAAATATTTGAATTGGTTTGAATGATGTTTCATCCCAAATCAATAACCTGGAAAATTTCTGAAGTATATTCATACAGTCGAGCTCTAAAAAACTACTTCACTGCTAGTCAATTTTGCAGCACCATTGGCTGTCATATCCACACCCTTCTTTTTCTGTTTCTATTAAATTTTTATTTTTATTTTTGGAGTTACATCCAAGAACTTCAATAGGTTATCTCGCTAGCTTCAAATTAAACCAAATTCTTGCATGAACCCATGTAAAAAAAGACAACAAACGCAAGTTCTGCAAATAAGACCAGCAACAATCTGTCGTTCTCTCTTATTAATCCATTATGAGCAATTAGTAATTTTTTCTAATTCTGTTAAGACTAGATATTATAAGCATCAGAAATTTGAAAATAGAAGCTTCAATATAGTTAAGAGTATGCAAGGCAGAATAAATCAGAAACATGTTCAATAAGCTTGGTAGTTTGACTTTATATTGTATGGTTGGGGGCCTTATTTGTTAACCGAGTACCTGGACTTGGGCATAGAAGCTGGAGCAGTGGATTTGCTAGTCTTGAGTCCGAGAGCTATATAGTCAAATCAACAAAAGCATATCATGGGACACAGAGAAGATGAAAATAATAAGCTGTTAGTCATATAGCAGAATTACACTAATGAACTAGTCTAAACTTTTAGAAGAATGCCATATGTCCTCTTCCATAGTTTCTTCTCTTAAGAGGCTATTTAAGCCAATAAAATGAGAGAAAGAAGAAAAATAATAATTGAATCATCGAACTCCCTAGAAACCTTTTTCCCATTAGTTCCTTCTCTTCCTCCCCCACCCCACCCCATTAAGATTTCATTAGACAGATAAAAGTACTGTTTAAGTTATTCAAAATTGCTTCTCCTACAATATTATAGCATGGAAAGCATCAAGTTCTATTACCCTTGGCACTTTCCAACCACTCTCTCTTATCCTTCCTTTTATTGCCCATTCAATCACTTCTAGTTCTCATACACTATTCTGTTTACCACTTCGGAACAATGAAATTTCTCCTTCTATTTGCCAACTACCCAATGAAAAAAATTGTATTCGAATCCTCTCATTCAACCATAACACCCCTGATTTTTGCTTCCAACTAATCTCCTGAACTACTGCCAAGGAAGGTAACTCATTATTTTTGATAAAGTAAGATGTATTTGAAGGGCATCAAGGAGATGCAAATTACATACACAAAAATTACATACCACAAGGAGAGTTAACTCATTGTTCAACTCTACCTTCGTTTCTCTTCCCCATTCCTCCTTAGTCCAAAAAAAGAACTAATCTCCTGAGCTAATGAAAACGGCACTCTTCCCCTATTTTTCACAAATAGTGTAACCCCAGTAAGATCTGTCATGTTGCAATCCACGCACTTCACTCCCATTTTGAAAGCTCCTGGTACCAAAGATGCACCGGCAATCTAGAAATTGACGATCAGGACACCTTCCTTTTTTGTCAATTTCGTGCACTATTACAAGTCATATCCTTAGTTCGCCTTTCCAGCATTAAATAATTTCCCCCATCCACCTTTGTACTTCACCAACACAATTCAAACCTCCATCTCTTTTCCAAACCCGTTAAACCAGACCTCACACACCAAGCTTCAGCAGCCCAACTAGTCACCAGTTTCGACGAACCTACCTTTTCTCGAACCTTCTGACCAAGCATATCGAGGAACTCTTTCTTGCTTAAATATTTTCATGACTTAAATCAACCCTGGTTCATCTCCATAGCCCACTTTCCCCCAAACTCCATCTAAAACCAGTAACGACATAATCAATGTCCTGCTAAGAACGAATATTATGTTTCTTTTTTTCATCTTATGGGAAGCTTGTTGTGGAGTTGGGGAGGAGAGCATGAATTTGAGAAGAAAATGACTGAGGCAACGGGAGCAGGGTTCTTTATCCTTGTTATGTTATTTATGCTTCCACAATTCATTTATGTTAGTCAACTATCTAGCAATAAAAAATATCAAAAGGGCCTCTTCAGACTATTTAAGCCCAAAGGGAAGGTGGTTTTTTTGAAAAAGAGTTTGAGCAAGAAGTGCTTGGTAGAAAAAAAAGTACGAGGTTTTTTTAAATGCATTTTAAGCTTCAACTTATGTACACGGGGAAAAGTACCAACCTTGCTAAGCTTTCTAGAAGCATCATGGCCAAGTTCCATTTTGCAGGGCAAGTAAGCACACGGAATGGACCAAAGAAGACACTTCATCAGCCCTTCATGCCAAAACCCATTAACAGTGAACCATGTGCATCTTTATAAAGCTTATGGAAGTTTTAACATCTATTGCATGAAAAAATTGTACGGTTTTATAAAAAACAACTACTCCATATTCCAAATTTTAAGTGTAGACAAACTTAGTTTTTGTGTTCATATCCAAAGTTCTAACACAAGACAAATTTGGCACTGCATACCTTTAACACAAAGAGCTAAGTTAAGTTCTGCGTATTTGAAAAGATTCAACTAAAGGAGCCACTAGACTGTATTTTCTTCTATCTTTTTTTTCCTCATTGTTTTTTGATAATTACATTGGACAGAGTGCTGAGTAATAAAAAACATGGATGAGTGTTTTTTCATTGTTTAAAATGACTACATCATGTTGTAATAGACCATACTAACAAGAAATAATAGACCACAGCAACATGTTCATTACATTTCACTGCCAACCCTTTCATGTCTAGTGGTAAGTTGACTACATAGTTCAGTGTATATTAGAAATATACAAGGTGTTGATCTCATGAACGGAGATTCTGGAGTCCCCTTGCTTGGATACTTTGAGGTGATAATGAAAGTACATAATGTGGCACTACATTGACCTTTTCTCTTCATGCTGACATGGAAGAGTTTGCTCAAACCTAATGTTAAATATTAGGTAAATTTGCTGAATATCACGTGTGTAAGTTTTGCAGAACAAGTCATTGCCTTTTTAGTTTTGTACAAGTAACTAGTTACCTTTTTCATTTAAAATGACCTTGAGTAATCAGTGTTATTACAAGATGCTTTAGGACAAGCTAAAGAAAAAAAAAAGAGAAAAAATGTTTCAAAAAATTCATGCTGACCTTCTACCGAACCCAATGCATCCAATGAAGATGAACCATTCTTACCTTTTCTATAAGACAAATAGGACTTCGAAGATATTATAAACAGGAACAAGTTTCACTATCCTAAGCATCTTTCTTGTAGCAGGCAGCAGTCTCTGATAACTGATATGCACCAATACCTGAAATTATGTAACACATGTCAAGGCCTCCAAGAGCGTTTCCCTTATATATGACTACTTTTCTAATAAGAATCTAATCTTAGTGTTCTTTCACCTCCTTAGTTGGTGCCCAAAACTTAGAGAGTTCCACATTTAGTTTTATCCACTCTTCTTCTTCTATTATTTACATTTAGCCAATTATAACCAAGGCTAAGAGAGTTACAACCTCCTTTTTTTCTCTTCACTCTTGTTTTTATTCTCTTCACCAGACATCATTCAATGGGTATTCCTAGCTTGCAAAGTTGTACCTGAACTTTCTTTCCCTTAAAGTTCCAATTGGTACCTAATGTCTAGAGAGTTATCTTTCTGTTTTTGTTTTTTGTTTTCCCGATTTGACCCCTTCTCCACTTCCTTTACCTCACCCAATTGATAGAAACCATAAAGAACAAAAAGTCATTGTGAAACTGGAGAATGCTACCAAGAAGACAGGTAAACGCTGATTTCAATCTAATCTATCCAGATAAGATCATTTTCTAGAACTGGTTCAATGAAGCACTTCCCTTACCTTTTCTTCTGCCAAATCAATCTAATTTATCAAAGATAAGCTCATCTTCCAGAACTGGTTCAAGGAGACCCTTTCCTTATTTTATTTCCCCAAATTATCTTACACGGAAACCATGATTCGGATAAATTATTTTTCTTTTCTTCTGACTTCTAATTTACTTTTAACATTTTTAGGATCCAAACTTGGATTTAAAGAAAACATCAAGAACTACTAAACAGAGTTTACAATATCTGTCCTCTGATCAAACTCATCCACCCATACTTATCAATCATTGTACCAAGCTTAATAATTTTATACACAAATGTGAAATAGTTCAAATAAAAATCTCTGTACACTTCAGTTAACCATTAACCAATCTAAAAAAAAAAAAATTATTTAAAGAGTTAAAAAAACAACTGACATTGATCAAACACTCACCGACGAAGATTCTCGTTTAACCAACAAGCAGTTAAAGAACCACCACTCTCACTGCAACTAAAATTTCTGTCAATACGAAAAGTTGCACTGTTTCATAGAGCACTCTACTGTAAAGAAACAAAAAAACAATAAAGCAAGAAACAGAGCTCTGTCGGTTTACCGTGATTTCTCTTTCTCTCTACAACACAAACCAAGGAACAAGAACAATGTAGCGGTGTATTTTCCGGGAAAAAAAAAAAGAAACAAGCAAGACTATATAGTTTGAGATTTTGCAACTCCTTTTGAATGTGGCATAAATTAAAGAAAAAACCCTAATGAACTGCCATTGATGAAAGCTTTCAATTGTTAAAAATGGAAGAGAAACAAATATGTGTGAGTCTCTTGTGTGGTTTATTGTATTTCTTATATCAGTCTCTGTGTAAATTGACTGCAGCAGCTATTATGCGCAGGATACGTGACTGTACTGTGGAGGTAAGGTACAAAGAGTAACAGCTAACGTGGAGAATGAAGAAACGGGGTTATTTTCGACTTTTTAACTGTTCTTCTTTTTCGATAAGGTCTGTATTTTTGAATGACGTGTAAATAATAAAACGTAATCATCGTGACCTTAGTTCAATAGTACACGGTTCTTGATCTCGCCACTTGAATAAATAAATAAATTACTTAAATAATAAAATAGGAAATATTATTATTATTATTATAGTGAAAACAAGAAAATTTCAAAAATATTATAAAAGTTTTTCAAGTTTGAGAGAATATGATTTGAGTAGAATTCAAAATATTATAAAGTTTTTTTTAAAAAAGACTGTATTTATTTGAATGACTTTTATATATAGCAAATATATAAATAAGTTGAATACCATTTCGCGGATTTGAATCCCGTCCAGTGGGGATCTCCTCCGGTACCTCCAGTAGGCCTTTAAATTTATTACATATGTCTACTTATATATTCAACGGATTAGATCAATTTTACTAATCAAGCATTAAACTACAATTAGCATGTTTTTTTCTTTCTAGAGAAAGCATTTTTTTTAATTGTCATAGTTTTATTATTTAATCAAATTATAAAAATTTTAATTAATATTTTATGATATATTTTTTCATCATATTGACATTTAAAAATTGGAATTATTAATATTTTTGTATAGTTTTTGAATTATTTGAATATCGAATTGATATAATCTACTTTAATTTTTTTTAAAATAGTTAACTTGACTTTTGAATAACGTAATATAACAAATAAAAGTGAAAAAAGAAAGTATTATCAAATACGCAATATAATAAATAAAAGTGGAAGAAGGAAGTATTATCAAATCTATTATGTAATGTATATATGTATCTGGATTATGAGCTTTTAGGGATTCAAATTAAATTTCAAAAGAGCAGCTTATATGATGCTGAATTAACGTCAATTGATACAATTGTGTTCAATTTTATATGTTTAATTCTATATTTTATTTTTAGAACATATGTTGCAAAATAAGAGATAACCATCCAAGCTTCTATTATATTGCACAACAAAATAGTAGTTCCACTGTAGTTTAAAGACTTTGGTTAGTAAATTAATCTAATCCAGTGAATATACAAATTCCAATTTCGCAATATTTAATAATAATTCATTTTTTCAGGGATTTAATAATTATCCATTTTTACTAAAATCGTAATGATAGCTGAGTTGGTGCAATATGTGTTATTCCATAACAAAGTTCAAGGATCAATTTTCTCTCAACACCTTCTTAGCCAAGCTAGTCACAACAGACTCGTCTAAAGCAATCTTTATATGTTGTCTAGTTTGCGACCTGATTAAAGAATTTCAAAATTAAATGATTATAACTTTAATTATTTTTTTCACGTGGTCTTTTCATTCCAAAAGGACAAAGGTACAAAAATAGCAAAAGAGACAATTTTATGGATGGTGACTTTGGAGGTTACCAACAAAATTGTTTGATCATCAATACTCATTATTTATGCATGGAAAGAGAAGTACCCTTACCAAAATTGAAAAGGCTATTTTATTTTACAATTGAAAGCATATTGGGGGTTTATTCCTTTATCAAATGTCACTAATAGAACTGTTTGATGTGACTTTTAACTAATTTAGGCGCATTTTGCATGACATTTTGAGTTAGAAAAATTCAAACAAAAGATAAATTATATTGGCTTTCATATTCACGTAAAGTCAAGAGCCTTCTTGATTGTCTAGGAAATGCTATTGGTTGATTGTCATTTCTTGTAGTCCTTTTCACAAGAAAGATTTAAACATTATTCAACATGGATATTTTTTTACTTGTATAAAAATACTAACTGAATAATCGTTTTTGAAATTTGCAAACTTATCATTGAGGTATTTATCAATTTGAATGGTGAGGCGTTTAGAGCTGGACAAAAAAATGAATAACAGTAGAAGGATAACAAATGCGAATTTCTCTTGGAGTTCAAAAAAAGAGAAAGATTAGCCCACAATTTAACAACCTGATTAGACTAAATGCGACAAGACATAAATACATGAAGCTGATTAGACTGTTATATTTTACTAGCTTCACTTGCCCTTTATCCAACAATTTAATAACCTGAAAATATAAGACAGGTAAAAGGTAAAAACTCAAAATTATTTAGGCAATCCAGTAGAAGGGCAAAATGCATCAGCAAAATTGATATTGCTGTTTCAGGGTCAAATCAAGCTTTACTGAAATGAAACGGAAAGAAATAAATAAACGTAAACCACCTTACTGTTGAGAAGGAAATTAGACCAAGCTCATAATCTGAACAATTAATCGTTCTTCACTTTATTAATCAACAAAAATTAACTGTCATAACAAACCAAGAAAATGGGAGGGAGAAGCCTGCACTTCTACATGATAATAACATATGACAAGTTTCTAGTTTTACATAAGAAAAGTACATTGAAGTCAAATAACTGCAAAAATAAAATATGTATCATTAAGTTTCAATGGCCTTGCTAGAGAACAAGTTCAGCAACTATTCGCTAGAATACTTAAAGGATCTACCCAATAAGCTTCTTGTGTAACAAGGTGATGCTGCTTACTGTCACTTGTAACAGTCGAAGTGTTTTTGTGTGTGTGTGAGTGTGTGCGCTTGTATGCATGTGCATCTAACATGCATTACAGCATGGCTTTTACATAATACAATATTTACCATCATTTTATTGGCAAACTCAGAAAAGCCGTCTTACAATTCCTAGTATTTCTTACAGATTATGATGAAGTGACAGCAATCGACAATCTTTCCTGGAACACCTGAAAAAAATGAATAACATGTGATATAATGAAATATCAGGCATGACCACCAATCGAAAAATGAAAAAAAGAGAACCAAGACTGCATAGCTTGCAGCAAAAGTACACCAGCATGGCATCAATGCAAAACCGTTACCATTCTGAAGTGTTCCAACTCTTTAGCATGCTCTGTCTCAAAGTCGTTCACTGATGGTAGCACAAAACCAGGGAAGGGCAAATTTCCTGCTTTAAGTACCTACAGCTTTTGTGGTGTAAGTGCCATGACAATGGAAATATTTAAACTTGAAAGTAAAAAAAAGTACTTATATATCCGTTAGCTAATGAGCTACAAGTACAAAAAGAAATTAAAAAAAAAAGGAAAAGAGAGAGGATGAGCTACAAGATTGATGCATGTTTCATCCCAAGAGAATGGCAGGATGAACAGCATGGATTTACTTCTATAAACAATCTGATTATCTAAGATTAGTCCCAGCTCAAATTGATTTACATGAAAACATAGAGGCTACAGCTAATCAGGCAAGTTAATTCTTACAAAATCATCTAAATTGAATGTCCAAGCCTAAGCTGGTAAGAGGAGGCTAAAAAGTGTTGTAACCGACGAGAATTTATCAATCGTCATTAAAGATCACCATCACAATGAAGAGCTCAGATGGGCATCATCTCTACTATTCTGGTCCCCTGTGATTCATTTCATGTGCAGAAAGTTCCAACATCCAGTAACTTAAGCTTAGTGTTTGGCAATGTGAAAGATGATTGCATGAAAATGGCATTCTGATTGAAGAATAGAGAGAAGGGCCTGTCCTGTTCAGAAAAAGTCTGTTGGTATGAAAGGGTGGAGAGGGGAAATTTTATGAGATATTAGCAATGATGCCCATAGGCTCTTGTAGATTTGTCAAATTTTTTCCATTAAATTTTGAAGAACCTTGTAGAAGAAGGAAGAACTAATTAATTGAAAAGAGTGCATTGTCGTCAGAACATTAACGGATATGGAGGATATGCAAACTGAGATTGTACAAGTTATGAAAAGAAGTGGAATTATAAGCCCAGATCGTTCAATGATCTGATCTCACGGGAAAAACTCAGAAGTTTCAAGAGAAAAGTTTTGTGGAGGGACAAGAGCCGCCTCTTACCTCCAACTCCGGAAATAAGGAGATGGCCAAAAACAGGGGTGAAGGTCAAGCTGGGATCCAACAGATATCCGAGGAGCTTAGTTGTGTCATGTGTGTGAAATTGAAAAATAGATAAAACTCAAAAAGGAATTTCTCATCAGATATTTAGACATCTGTTTTGAAATGTTGAGATGTTAATATGGCAATGACAGCGTGCTTGGAACTCTGATGTAATAAAACAGACAAAAGAGGTAGCTGCCATTGTATGAAAATGTATTTCTTGTTCACATTCCTACAAAGGGAAGTGGCTAGAAGGTCCAGATGGGTGAGCAGATATGGGAATAATGCAAAATGACCCTTGAATGTTGGTCCCCACAATCCACATTGCTTTCCATCAAGAAGAACTGAAGCAAGAACATATTTTGATTAGATTGCTTAATCTACCAAAAGTGGTCTGGAAGGCGTGTTCCATGATAGGAGGCATCTGTGGAAGATAAATGGAGCTGGAACACAAAGCCAGGTACTAGATGAATTTAAGATGTGTAAGGATGAGCATGAGGTGAACAACCAATTCCGTTCTTGCTAGAATCCAAATCGATCTCAGGGAGATGGTGTACCAATCTGGGTGGGATCTTTCGGTCAACATAGTTGCATTGCCACAAATATCAAGTGTTCACTGTTAGAAATGATTCGAAGCCTTTACTGATAAATGACTGCTGAGGCATTACAGGAAAAGGTCCGACAAGCGGAGCAAGGAACAATTTCCCAGTTTCATTTTATGGGGAAACTAAACCCTAGATCCACCCCTGTTAAATAAAATTATACCACAAGAGATCAACTGAACGGAATCACATAGGTTGCTCCAAGATATAAGGAAGAGAAACATAAAGATGCATGTAAAGGTTAAATACCAATTTATATCCTTCACAGGTATGTGAGAAATCCACATTGTGGATGCTGAACAGCTGAAGTTTCTCCACTGCAGCAGATACACGTAGAATTGCACAAAGAATTCTGAATTTCCCTGTCATCTAAGGTAGAAAGATAATAGTTAAACACACATAAGAGTCTTGAACTCTTGATCTATGCAGACATGTTATCTTCATTTGTCCTATCCATGTCAATTTAATGACGTGTGTCGGTACGTTGTGCAAATCTACAAAATACATTTCAGAAATTTTGGAAATTGAAAGTATCTATTCAGGGATGGTGGTACTTGGTGCAGAACCTCCAAAGTACAAAAAGCTTGCTAAAACTGAATTCATGCATACCAGATACACACCAATAATGGAGTCGGTGAGTATTAGTTTGTATTGCACACAAAAAATAACAATATGATACCTCTTTTGTTAATTCCTCAGGCACCATATGATCATAGTCGGGAAGTTTCTTTCTATGGTGTCTCACAAGTAGAGCTATTAACTGGAAGCTGACGAAGATGTCATCAGTTTTCACATTCTGAATGTTGTTCTGAGAAATAAAGGAGACACCATACCTTAACCTCTTCGGCATTATAACCATGCAGATGATCACCTTTCTACACAGAAAGTGAAGCTTGTCACAATAAGTTACATGCTCCCAATAACTATTTCGAGGTACATAAGAGAACTGATACAACTGAAACCAGATAGATAATCATCAAACATTATCAATCACAGAGGCCTCTGTATATCAAGACCTCTAGAGATGGGATTTGTGCAGGGAGGAGCAAGTGCAAGGTGGGGAGTAGTTATGCTGGACACATTAAACAACATTTGTGTGTGTGTGTGTGGGGGGGGGGGGGGGGGAATAAAAATGGGGACTGTTGCGAAAATTAATGCTACAATTTTGTAATCATCCATTTATGCTTCAATTTAGCTTTCAATTGCTTTATCTCTACTTCGGCTTTCTTGATGCGTCATATTTCAGTTACAGCTCTGTTTTTTTTATTGTCAGTATACATTTTTTTCAATCTCCGATTAAGGAAATTATATGTCTGCCTGTATTTTTGTAACTTACAATAATAGCAAATCATACTGAAAAATTATGTTTCCCCAACAGAAGATCATTTGGCTACATCAGGAAAGATTCATATTAGATGATTAATTTAATTATTGTTGTAGTGACTATCGAAACGAATAAAGAATCACCATTCCAGGCTAAAACTCTAACAACTACAACAACATACCCAGTATAATCCCACAAAGTGGAGTTTGAGGAGGGTAGAGTGTATGCAAACCTTACTCCTACAAAAGTACGCTAACACATTAACAAGGATAATTAATTTCAGAATGATGATATCTGCAAAAGAAATATTTGACTACTAAGCCAAGGTACAAAGAGAAAGACCAAGCTTAACTAGTATGTTGGCATCCTTGTTTTGAATATGTAAATAACAGTGACAAAAAAGGAAAAAACATAAAAGATACTGAAGCAGCAACACAGGCCCAATTGAAAACGCTTGTCGAGTGGGTCAAATTTGGTGGGCTAGGCAGGCCTACCCCCCCCCCCCCACACACACCACCACCACCACCACACACACACACAGAGTGCCGCACCATCTCTACGTCTCTTTAAGTTTTTAAAACTCACAGCTTATCTATGATTAGCATGAGAAACTATGGCCTACATTTGATCACCCAATTTAATCAGCATGTCTAATTATTCAGTTCTATAATCAGAATTAAGTTCCATTATTGTTTTAAGATTGCTTTTTCTGTAAAATGACTAACATCTTAGTGAAACTTATTTATTAAATTATCCAACTATCTATTCTGAATCAAAATCAGTTAGAGAATTATAAACCAAACAGGTCATGACATCGCTTTAATTATGTCATGCTACTAAGCTGAAGTTTTATACACAAATACACCAAATAAATCATTCTGACAGTTCAGTTTGCAGCATTAAATAAACGATTGTTACATAAACCCCTCAACATGCAAAGAGACAGAAATTTATCTGAATCTTCCTGGATTAAGAAATAAATACATACCGCTATTATATGGTAAGATTGCTTATGATAGCCCTTTTTACCAGCATAAAGACCGATTTTTTGAAGCAAACAAGCTGCCTCAAGATACTCGAGATCTTTATCCTCCAAGGATACAAAGAATCCATCAGAACCATTGCCTGATTCATATCCTTTTCTCAAACCATCAAACATCTCCTACATCATGAACATTAACAAAGTCAACAATATTTCTACCCTAAATATGGAACAAAAGATGGTGAACTTCTTATTGCATTCCATTCCGAATTACCAAATACCTTGGCAACACTAAAGCATAATGCAGCAGATTTCATGTGTTGCTTGTTGTTAAACCTTGTGGCGAGCCTCGTTACAGACCTCCACCTCGCATTTGCCCTTGGATCATAATTATCAAAAACCTCCCCTAACTTCTCTGCAATCACACCCTCACCTAATGCATACCCAGAAACCTCCATCTCTTCAATCTTAAGGTCCTCAAATATTTCCTCCAATAAAACTGCCCCTGCCACAATAAATGCTGACCTCTTCTTGAAGAAGCCCTGCGTTCGAACCTTCCCTCCAATTCTTCTCTCTTCCTCACTCAACCGCTCCACTAAGCCCTTCAATTCGTCCATTGTAAAACTCCAATCCCTCCTACTTCCCTTAGATATGCCCACATTTCCCTCCATATTGCTTACATAGCCACGGAAAATCGCCTTTTCAATATTCTTAATTGTCCCTGATGAACCAATCACTTTATCAATATTATAATGCTTAACCTTCTCATTTAAGCCCGAGGCACGGATTATAACCTTAATATGTTCCCGCATTTCTGTAACTTCGGGAAATTTTTGAGTTAAAGTGACATGTCCCAATGCTAGTGAAATAGAGAACAAAATCTGCCCCTCTTTGCCAATTACAAACTCTGTAGAGCCACCTCCTATGTCAATTGTGAGAACTGTACGGTCATGAACAGGATGGAACTGAAGTATACCTTTGTATATAAGGCGGGCCTCTTCGAGACCGGAGAGTACATCAACTTTCAGACCTAGGGTTTCATCAATCGTTTGAAGGAATTGTGATCGATTGGAAGCTTCTCGAACAGCAGAAGTAGCTACGATGCGAGAATGGGAGGAAGGAACGCGATGGGACTGGAGAAGCTTCTGAAACTTTCGAAGTGCTGTGGTGGCGCGTAGCAGAGAGGCGTTGGAGATAATGGCGGAGGTAGTGGTGGTGTTAGTATCAAGGCCGAGGAGGACTCTTTCCTTGAACCGATCGACGGTGAGGAAACGGCCGGTGGAAGGGTCGGCGCGAACTACGAGGAGCTTGAAGGAGTTGGTACCGATGTCTACGGCGGCGAAGAGGTTCTCACTGGTGCCATTTCTGGCGGGAATTGAGATTGCGTCGGGAAGAATTGGGAGATTGGCCGACATCTCTTCCGGCGACGATTGTAGATGGTTTCTTGAGTAAATTGCTTCTTTACGATTGCTTTTACTTTTTAATTTTTTTGAATTATTTTTTAACTTGCTCTACTTCATCCTCTTATTATTGATGTGTAAAATAATACTCCACGTCTGTATTCATTCAAAACAGTAGTAACACAATATCATCCATACAAGGAGTATTATAGTAAATAGAGAACTTATGCTTAACTAAAATTAGAAAACCAACTTTTTATATTTCTTTGGTTACAAAACTTATGTATAAACAAATTAAAGAACAATAACAGGTACCAAATTCTAATTGATTTAGAATTAGCACTATTGGTTTAAATTAAGAGTTTATACTCCTTAACATATTTCATTTTGGTAGAAAACAATAAACTTTTTAACATATTGTGGAACTTTAAAAAATGGATTACATAAGAAATGTCACATACAGTTCTTCAGGGAGTCACCAGCACCCTGGAAGAAACAATATGAGAGAGCAAAGTCCGCTACGAATATGCCAACAAGAGATAAAACTACAGCTGAAGTTGTAGACTCTCCAACCCCTTTAGCACCTCCCAGTGTGGTGACTCCCCAAGCACAGCTTATGATGGATATAATTGCACCAAAAACCTGTGACTTAATCATCGCACTGATAAGGTCCCATGACTTGAGAGCTCTCTGAGCAGAATCCAATATTATGTTTATGCTAATTCCATAAACACCGTCAGCTAAAAGGGCGCTGGATGCCATTCCAACTGTAAAGCACGTTAGGGTCAAAAACGGTAAGGCAATGCAGGAAGCAATCACTCTTGGTGTCACCAAATAATCAACAGGATTTGCACCGAGAACTCTCAACGTGTCTGTCTGCTCAGACACCTGCATGGTGCCCAGTTCTGCAGCAAATGCACTACCGATACGCCCAGCAACTACAATTGATGTGACAACTGGACTTAACTCTCTTGAAAAGGCAAGGGCCAGCACTCCACCAACGGATCTATTTAACCCTAATCTAGTGAATTCTCTAACAAATTGGATAGTGAAGGCCATGCCAACAAAAGCTGCAGTTAACAAACAGACACCAACTGACTTGGGTCCAACTCTTTCCAACTGTTGAAAAGTATTCTTCCAGTGGATTTTACCCTTTATAATCCTAATAATAACCTGTCCTGCCAAGATAAGAACTGATAATCCCCTCCATAAGTACCTGGGAGGTGACCACTTACTCAAGAACGTTTCTCCTCCAAATTCCCATTCTTTCATTGTAGATGTGTCTTTTTTAGATGCAGTTGTGTCCTCTTCAGAAACAGAGAGACTTGGATAACCATCATTAGAGTTAGGAATCACACAGAACCTTTTCAGTTTGTAAGATTTTAGAATCTTCAGGATCTGAGCTCCTTGATTAAAGTCAAATTTCTGGGGAAGCCAATTCAAGCTCAAAATTTTTACACTTGAGTGATTACTCACCTTACTATACCTGCCTCTGCAATTCATGAAAAACTAATGTGAGTCAATCCAAGTGGCTCAGTATTTTTTAGGAATCAACTTCAGAACCCATGCATGTTAAACAGAAGTTGAATATCAAGTCACATGGAATGCATATATATTATATACAGAACATTGCAAGTACATATGCACTTTTTATTAATGTATAAACGCAATCCAAGAGGCAAAGAGAGAGACCTTCCAGAAAAGTGAACAAGAGGATAGCAATGAGAAGCTGCTTGCATGTTGGTCTTAGATTACGTAAAATATCGGTCTTTTATGTCCTCAGCACAAGAAGAAGACCTGCTATAAGAAAAAAGAAGTGAAAATCATTCCTAATGTAGAATCTCAACCACAAGGAGAACATAATATTATGTAAGAGATTTGCAACAAAGCAAACAGATGGTATCTGTGACATTTAAGACATTTCATGTAGAAATCTGAGACATCAGAACTACAGAGTTGAGCAAGTATTTTCTTTTTACTCATCAGAAACTTACAGAGTCGAGCAAGTATCTTCTTATATGTCATCAGTAACATTGTATCCATGAACAGAAACCCTCCCTGACCCTGACAAAGTGCACTAGGTTCAGGTAAGCTTTTCGCACTTTGCCCCTCTACTAATTTTTATGGCACTCCACAAACTTTAAAGGTATATAAATACACACACTAAAGATGGTCAGAATAAAATGACATGATAAGCTAATGGGTAACTTTTACGTGCCCTTTGAAGGCATATAACAGAAAGAAAGCATATAAGAAAGTATATATACTAGTAGACGTCCCTCATACCACCTCAGTCCCCATATTTATAGTGAAGCACATCTTTTCGCACCCTAGAAGGTGCTCCTTGTGCTCCTCACCACATCATAGTGAAGCACATATTTTCGCATCCTAGAAGATGCTCCTTGTGCCTCACCACATCACGCCTGAAGGGTTTTCCATTTCCTTAATCATTGTTACCAGAAAAACTTTTCTTCCTTTAAATATTTGGATAATAAAATACTAGATAGTGAACTGTAAACTACTAAAACAAAAATGAGGGGAAAATTGAGGGGAAAATTGAGGGTAAAAAAGACAACTAAGCAAGAGAAAAGCCCGGACAGAATCCAGATCCTTCCCAGTTCCCAGATGATGAGTCTGATACCAAATCCTACAGTTCTTAACCCCTTCCATTCCAAAAAAAAAACCCTTCTTCATACCATTAATTCATAAACTTTTACTTTTTTTAAAATGAAATAAATGTTTCATTACAGGTATCAAATAGATGCAAATTATTTACAACATTAATTCATAAATTTCATGGACTTCTCTTGTACAAAAGTGAAACAAGTTACCATTAGAACAATAAACAGAAAAAAAATCCCATAATTTCCTTGGCAATGAAACCAGTCGACTATTGAGGTAAATCTCTCTATTTTCAACTGTAGCATCTTCTGGAATTCCAGCATTTGCAAGACTATAATACTGTAATCTTGTAAGTTGCAACATAAGAGATTTTTTAATCAAACAAGTAAAGTTAACTAGATCAATGTATCTAAGGTTAAATTATTATTAGTAACTGGTTATTATGTCTAAAGACAATGTAGGATTTGTATAAATATTGGAAATGAAAGAAAGACTTATGGTAAACCCAGGACAAATGATAAAACAGTTTCTAAAGGCAATCTTCTTCCTTTCCTTGAGTTTGATGCGATTGAGCTGAGGGTCTTTCAAGAACAGCCTCTCTACCTGGTCTACGTACACTCTACCGTCCCCACCCCACTTAGTCCGATTCCACTGGATACATTGTTGTTGTAGTTTCTACTGGCAATGTTGAAAGTACATAGTATGGACTACATTGTCCTTTCTCTTAATGCTGACATGGAAGAGTTCGCTCAAACCTAATGGTTAAATATTAGGCAAATGTGCTGCATTACACTTGTATAAGTTCTGTAGAACAAGTTACAACAATTTTAGTTTTTTTTTAAATAAGAAACTACTACCTTTATCATTCAAAACGACAATCTAAAGGACTATGTAGAATGATCCCTTTGCTCAATTATAAGATGCTTTATGACAAGCTAAAAAAACAAAAGGGAAAAAGGTACTTATAGATTCATGCTGACCTCCTACCCAATGCATCCAATGAAGAAAAAAATTGTTCTTCCTATTCTATAAGACAAATAGGAGTTCGAAGATTGTATACACAATGTTGAAAGTTTCAATATCCTAAGCATCTTTACTGTAGCAGTCAGTCACTGATATGCAACAATACCTAAGATTACCAAATACATCTGAAAGCCTTCCAACTACATTTCCCTTATATAAGGCTACTTTTCTAGTAAGCTTCTAAATCTAAAGCATTCTTTCACCTCCCCCAGTAAATGCTCAAAACTCAGAGAGTTTCGCATTAGTTTTATTCACTCTTCCTCTGTTATTACCCACAATTAGCAAATTATAATCAAGATTAAGAGTTACAACTTCAATTTCTTCTGCACTCTTGTTTTTATTCTCTTCACCAGACATCATCCGATGGTTATTCCTAGCTTGTAAAGTTGTACCTAAACTTTCTTTCTCTTAAATTCCCAATCGTACCTAATTCCTGTTGAGTTGTAATTTTGCCTTTCTGTTTTTATATTTTCCCTTTTTGACTCCTCCTCCGCTTCCTTCACCTCACCAATTGATAGGAACCATAAAGAACAACAGAAGTCATTGTGAAACTGGAGTAAGTAGACGTGTAAACACGGGTTTCAATCTAATTTATCGGAAATAGACTCTCTACCTCTAACATAAGGATAAGACTGTGTACACTCTACCCTCCCCAAACTCCACATGGTGTAATCTAGGTGTGCTGTTGTTATCATCCATGATTCCAACATATTATTTTTGTTTCCTTCTAACTTCTACTTTCCTTCAACATTTTCTGGATCCCAAGGATAAAAGAAACAACAAGAACTAAACTATGAGTTAACTCATCAACACATTACTTATCAAGAATTGTTTCCTTCTAACTTCTATTTTCCTTCAACAGTTTTTGGATCCTAGGATAAAAGAAACAACAAGAACTAAACTATGAGTTAACTCATCAACACATACTTATCAAGAACTCAAGCATAGCTGAATAATTTTCTATACAACTCAATCAATGAAAGAATTCTAAAGAAACTCTCTCTATACACTTCAGCGAACTACTAACAATTAACAAATCCAACAAGAAAAAAACGAAGGAACATTGTTTAAAACTAGAAAAAATGGAAACAAAATCATGGTTCACCAGTTAAGAAACAAGTAGAACAAGAACCTACCCTCTCACCAACGGAACGCGAGATTTTGTTGTAGGTAGCAATGGCTTCAATAGGAATATCCACTGCTGTAAATATGAAAAATTGAACTGTTTGATAGACTACTCCGTAAATAAACGAAGAAACAGACTTCAGTCACCTAACCAGATTTCTCTTTCTCTCTGCATATATAATAATGGCGGTGTAATTTTTAGGGAGAAAAAGTAACAAACAAGACTATTGTTTGAGATTTTGTAACTTTTACAAACAAAAAAAAACCCTAGATAGAAGTGCAGGAAAAAATGAATGGAATGGAAGAGATCAGTGGCGAAGGATAAAAAATCCCAAAACTGGAATAAGAAATAAAAAAAAATACAAACAAATAGCGAACTTTTATATTA